AGAGCCGTCGTCCTCGCACGCGCGCGCCGCTTCGAAGAGCTCTCTGTACTCGAATCGACTCGACGCTTCGCACGCCCTCATCGCGGGGTTCGGGGTCATCGACGCCTCGAGCAGCGCGAACAGCGCCTTACCGTGCTTCCTCTCGAGCTCGCCGCCGCGCATGAGTTGCACCGCGAGCGCGGACGCGCGGTTGAACTTCCCCGGGTTCGCGCAGTGCTTCGTCAGCTTCTCGAGCGCCTCCGCGGGCGATCTCGACGCAACCGCGGGTTCGCGCGCGGGCGGCGCGGGTTCGGGCGCGTCCACCGCGGCGTCGTCCTCGGTCTTGACGCGCTTCGGCGACGGCGGTGGCTCGTCCTTCGGCTCCGGCGCCGCGCGCTTCGCGGCGGGGAGCTCGTCGAACAGGCCCATCGCCGCGCCGCGAGGAGTGATGACAGGGCGCCGCGACGGACGAAGTAGTGCCCGACGACGACTCGTTCGTCAACGAGATCTGTCGCTCGTCGGACGCCGCGATCAGAGTTCGCCCGGCGCCGGGCGGCTCTCTCGCGCGATGCCCGTGCTTCGCAAGGCGCGGCCGCGGTCCGAGGACGTCGCCCTGGACGAGGAGCTGACGTTCCAGGACCTCCAGCTCCCGGTGCGCGTCCGCTCCCCCGCGTCGCGCGCGTCCGCGCGTCGCGCGCATTCGAGATGCAGTCTCCGTCGTTCGTCGTCGTCGCATCTCTGACCTCCGTCGCTCGCGCCTCTCCTCCCCCCCACCCCCGCAGGACGCGCTGTGCGAAGGCCTCGCGGCCGCCGGGTTCCACGTCCCTTCCCCCGTGCAGCGCGCGGCGATCCCCCTCGGCCGCCTCGGCGCGGACCTCGTCGTCCAAGCCAAGTCCGGCACGGGCAAGACGGTCGCGTTCGCCGCCATCCTCCTCGAGCGCGTCGACCGCGCGCTCAGGCACCCGCAGGCTGTCGTCGTCGCGCCCACGCGCGAGGTGGCGCTGCAGTCGCACGACGTCGTCGCGTCGCTCGCGAATTCGCTCGCGCCGCCGTCGCTGTCGCTCCGCGCGTGCCTCGGCGGCCTCCCCGTCGCGAGCGATCGCGCGGCGCTCGTTCGAGGCGCGCAGCTGTGCGTGGGCACGCCGGGCCGCCTCCGTCAGCTCCTCGAGGAGGGGTCGATTCACCCGGACGGCGTGCGATGCGTCGTGATCGACGAGGCGGACGCGCTCATGGGCGGGTCGTTCGAGGCGGACGTGCTGTTCATACACGGCGTGCTGCCCGCGCGGAAGCAGACGATGGCGTTCAGGTGCGAAAGTAGCGTTTCGCCCGTCACCACCCCTACGCATCGGTTTCGTCGGTTTCAACATTCGATCGCGTCGCCTTTCAACTGACCGATGAACATCGGGACTGTCGTCGCAGCGCGACGTACCCGACGGAGATGCGCGCGAGGGTGCGAGAGTTGACGCGGCGGGACGTGCACGAGGTGGCGTTGTGTGGCCCGGGGCCAGCCGGGTCCCAAGTCGCGGATCGCGCGCTCGGCGAGCGCGCTTCCTCCTCGCCGGGCGGCGGCGCGGTCGCGGGGCCGGGCGGTGAGAGCTTGCGGGCGGTGCGGCAGTTTTATTTCCTCGTCGACGACGACGACGACGACGACGACGACGACGACGACGACGACGACGACGTGACGCGCGCGGAGACGATGCGACTACAGAAAGAGTCCGCGCTTCGGCAGATCTTCGACAAGGTGTCGTTCCACCAGGCGGTGGTCTTCGCGCGACGCCCCGCGTGGGGAAGCGCGGTCGCCGAGCGGCTCGTCGCCGCGGGGTTCGCCGCGGAGTTCATCGGCGGCGCGCTGCCGCAACGGCGACGCATGGACGTCGTCGCCGCGATGCGCGCGTTCGACGCGCGCGTGATGGTCTCCACGGATCTCACCGCGCGCGGCGTCGACCTCGCGCGCGTGAACCTCGTCGTTTGTCTGGATATCCCGCGCGACCGAGAGACGTACTTGCACCGCGTCGGACGCGCGGGGCGATTCGGCGCGCGCGGCGTCGCCGTCGCCGTCGTCACCGCGCGGGAGTTGAAAGCGCTGCGGGCGCTTCTGTGCGAGGGCGTCGAGCGCGCGGACGGCCGCGACGCGATCGCGCTGGAGCCGCTGCCGAAGCGCGTGCCCGCGGACTGGTACGAGCACGACCTGAGCGAGGAGGACGGCGGGCGGCTGGAGCGGTTGAACGCGGCGGCGGCGGCGAAAGCGGCGGCGAAGGCGGCGAAGGCGGCGGCGAAGGCGGCGGCGAAGGCGGCGGCGTTGGACGAAGACGCGCGCGAAGCCGTCGCGGAGGAGGAGGAGGAGGAGGAGGAGGAGGAGGAGGAGGCGTACGACGCCGATTCCCACGAAGAGGACGAGGAAGCGCGGATGTGGGCGTGGCGCCGGGCGTGGGCTTCGTATTGGTGGTGGTGGTGGCGGGGACGCGCGGACGAGGACGAGGAAGAGGCGGAGGACGCGCGTCGTCGCGGCGCGCACGCCGCGGAGGCGCCGCCGTGGATCGTCCCGCCGATTCACGCGTCCATGAGGTCGTTTTAACGAACGACGTAGCCATAGATTGATAGTCGACGGCGCCTTCGCGAGCGAACCGGAGGCGGGGCTCCGTGGGCCACGAAAAGAAGGCTCGCGTCCTTCGGTCGCGCGAAACCGAGGAAAATGCTCAGTGTATCAGTCGGTTTTCGCGCGAAGGGGCGTCGATCGCGGAGGACACACCGCACGGCGCTCGGACGCGTCCGCGCTAGGCGCGCGTCGTTTGGAGTGCCGCGCGGGACTAGCTCGCGCGGTCCGGAGACGCGTGCCCGCGCGATCGGCGTCCGCGAGCGGTGTCGGAGTTAGAGACGACGGGTTGGTGAATTTCGTCGGCGAGGGTTAGCGGGACGGGACTTTACGCGCGCCCTCTCGCGTCTCGGGACGACGCGTCGGGCTCGGAGAGGACGTCGTCCGTATCGCGCCCTCCGACGCGCGTCATGGAGGCGTCGCCCAATTCCCCCGCGCCGACGGTTCCGGCACCCCCCTTCGACGTCTCCACGCCGCCGCGGACGGCGACGCCCGGCGCGGGGACGACGAACGAATCGTCCCCGTCCGAGCTCGCGCGGTCGCGCGAGAACAGCATCCACGGCCCCGGACCATCGGGCAGCGCCGTGCATCACATGACCCCGGAGATGCAGCTCGCGATGTACCCGATGTTCCTCACCGAGGAACGCCACGGCGCGAGAGACGACGGCTCGGACGTGTCCACGTCGCGAGAGAAGGTGGTGTCGAAGTGGCGGATGAAGGATCGAATGAAGACGACGTCCGTGGCGCTCGTCTTGTGCTTAAACATCGGCGTGGACCCGCCGGACGTCTTGAAAATATCCCCGTGCGCGCGCATGCAGTGCTGGATCAACCCGCTGTCGATGCAGCCGCAGAAGGCGCTGGACGCGATCGGGAAGGCGCTCCAGGCGCAGTACGAGCGGTGGCAACCGCGGGCCAAGTACAAATTACAGCTGGACCCCACCGTGGAGGACGTGAAGAAGTTGTGTCTGTCGTGCCGACGGAACGCGAAGAACGAGCGCGTGCTGTTGCACTACAACGGCCACGGCGTCCCGCGTCCGACGGTGAACGGCGAAGTGTGGGTCTTCAACAAGTCGTACACGCAGTACATACCGCTGTCCATCTACGATCTGCAGCAGTGGACCGGGAACCCGGCGATTTACGTCTTCGACTGCTCCGGCGCGGGGCTCGTCGTGAACTCGTTCTTGCAGCTCGCGGAGCAAGGGAACGTGGGGACGGGCCCCGCCGCCGCGGCGTTGGCGGCGGCAGCCGCGGGGAGCGACGGCGTCGGCGTCGGCGGCGCCGCCGCGCGCCCGGACACCGCGGGCGGGACGATGCCCCTGGGCGCGGGCGCGAGCGAGTGCATCCTCCTCGCCGCGTGCGGCGCGGAGGAGCTCCTGCCGCAGTCGGCGGATCTCCCCGCGGACGTCTTCTCCGCGTGTCTCACGACGCCGATCAAGATCGCGCTCAGATGGTTCGTCAGTCGTTCGATCCTCAAAGGCGACGGGATCAGCGTGGACGTCATCGATAAGATCCCCGGGCAACAGAACAACAGGAAGACGCCGCTGGGGGAGTTGAACTGGATCTTCACGGCCATCACGGACACCATCGCGTGGAACGTCCTCCCGCGTCCGCTGTTCCAGCGGCTGTTCCGGCAGGACCTGCTCGTCGCGTCGCTGTTTCGCAACTTCCTCCTCGCCGAGCGAATCATGCGAGCGAACAACTGCGCGCCCATCTCGTGCCCCGCGCTGCCGCCGGCGTACCAGCACCCGATGTGGCACGCGTGGGACATGGCGGTTGAGATTTGCCTCCTGCAGATGCCGACGCTGATCAACGGCGACTCCACGGTGGAGTTCACGCCGTCGCCGTTCTTCACGGAGCAGCTCACCGCGTTCGAGGTGTGGCTCGAGCACGGCAGCGAGCGCAAGGCGCCGCCGGAGCAGCTTCCGATCGTGTTGCAAGTGCTGCTGTCGCAGTCGCACCGCTTGCGCGCGCTCGTGTTGTTGGGGCGGTTCTTAGGCGCGTTCTGTACACTGGTCCCCATACGACCGCGTTCGCGTGGTGAACGCCGATCCTTAAGGACTTTTCCTGGCGCATCTCTCCGCCCACCCCTCGCTTTCAATCCCCGCCCTCGATGCCTTTCAACTCCACCTGACGCCTTTGAACTCCACCCAGACATGGGCCCGTGGGCGGTGGACCTCGCCCTGAGCGTGGGCATCTTTCCGTACGTGTTGAAGCTTCTGCAGACGACGGCGCCGGACTTGAGACAGATTTTGGTCTTCATATGGACGAAGATACTCGCGCTCGATCGCTCGTGCCAGCTCGACCTCGTGAAGGACAGCGGGCACGTGTATTTCGTCCGGTTTCTTGATTCGCCGTCGGTGCCGTCAGAGGAGAGGGCGATGGCGGCGTTCGTGCTCGCCGCCATCGCGGACGATCACCCGAAGGGCCAGGCCGCGTGCGCGTCTTCCGGTTTACTCCAAGTGTGCCTCGCGAACCTCCCCGGCGCGGCGTCGCCGTCCGGGTCGCCGCTGTTCGTCCGCTGGTTGTGCTTGTGCATGGGAAAGCTGTGGGACGGCTACGCGTCGCTGCAGGCGGAGGCGTTCAGGGTCCGCGCGAGCGAAGCGGTGGCGTCGCTGTTGAATCATCCCACCCCGGACGCGCGCGCGGCGGCGGTGTACGCGTTGGGCGCGCTCGTCCACGTCAAGAAGCATGGGCGGCCCGAGGGCGGGTCCTCCGCGGGGACGGTCAATTTGGCCGCCGGGGAGAGCGCGACGGAGCTGAGCGCGACGAGCGGCAGCGCGTCGGGGAGCGGCGCGTGGGATGGCGGCGGCGAGACGGCTCCGGGCGCGGGCGCGGGCGCGGCGGGCGCGGAGGACGCCGAGGAAGATGGATTTTTCGGCGAGCGCGCGGCCGCGGAGCGCGCGATCGCGTGCCACGTCGTCCCGTGCACCGCGGACGCGTCGTCTCTCGTGCGATGCGAGGCTGCCGTCGCGCTCGCGAGGCTCGCGCGGTCGCACGCCGCGGAGTTCCAATCGGCGGCGACGTGGATGCGGCGCGAGCGGCGTCTCAGCGACGCCGGGAGCGAAGGCGGCGGCTCCGGCTCCGGCTTCGGCTTCGGCTCGCGGGGTGCCGGGATGCGGAGGCGCGCGAGCGGGAGCCTGAGCGGCGACGCGATCGCGGAGGACGGGACGACGTTCCAGAGCGGGAGTCCGGGGGCGTACGCGGCGTCGGCGTCCCCGGGGACGCGCGAGCCGGGCTTTTGGTCGACGGACGCGGCGGCGGCGCCGGGCGACGGAAGCGCCAACTCCTCCCCGCCCGCGGGAACTTTCGCGAGCGCGGACGCCGCGCGCGTCGGCGGCGGTCTGTACCACCACGTCCTCGAGCGGCTCCTCGAGCTCGCGGCGGACCCGTCGACGCGGGTCGCGGTCGCCGCGCAAAAGGCGCTGCTCGCGACGGGGATCGACCACGCGCACCCGCTTCTGAAACCGGCGCTGTCGAGGGCGGTGTTGATCGCCGCCGGGCTCGCGGAAGGCGGGTCGGAGCCGGAGGGCGGCGGCTCGCGACCGTCCACCGCCGCGGACGACGGCGCGCGGGAGTCGAGGGACGGGGAGGCGGGCGGCGCGAGCCCGCACGGACGCCGCGGCGGCGGCCTCGGAGGAAGAACCGCGAGCTGGTCGCAGAAACTGAGCAACTTGTCCTCGCGGCTGCTCGGCTCGCCGCGTCGCGTCCCGAGTCGAGACGCGATCGGCGCGGCGGCGTCGACCGCGGACGGAGATAGTCTCACGTCGAGCGCGAGCGGCGTGAACTTGCAGCGCACGTCGAGCTTCCAGCGCCTCATGTCGCCGCTGTCGAGCAAGATGAAGCGGACGATGTCCACGCAGGGCGGATTGCACGCGTCCCCGGGGCGCGGCGGCGGCGGCGCCGCCGCCGGGGAAGGACCCGGACTGCTCTCGCAGCTGTCGCACGGCGGGAGCGATCACGACCTCCTGACGTCCCCGAGAGCGGGCGCGGGCGTGGGCGGCGGCGTCGCGGGGGAGAGCGGCGCCGGCGCGGACGCGCTCCCGAAGTCGCTCGTGTTCGCGTGGAGCTGCGAACACTTTTCGCGGTCGCTGCTCGAGCCGTCCCCGGCGGCGGGCGGGGGCGGATACTACGCCGACGGCGACGAGGAGGACGATTTTTTCCCGCCCGCGACGCGAAGCGGGGTCACGCCGCCGCCGCCTCCGTCGCCGAAGCGGCGCGTGATCGCGCCGAACACGCGACTCGCGCGGAGAAGGGTCGCGGAGGAGGCTGCGCGACGGTCGGGGTACGCGGGGAAGGAGCAAGTCAAACTCGCGGATCAGATCGCGACGATCGAGCTCGAGCACGGCGCGTCGCCGTCGCGTCTGCTGATGCACCCGCTGTCGTCGATCGCGTGCATCTCGGACGACAAAGGGATCGTGCGCGCGTGGGACTACGTTTCCGGGAAGACGCTGAACAAGTTCCACGCGGGCGGCGCCCCGGGGAAGCCGACGTCGTCGCTGAGCCTCGTGAACGATTTAGACGACGCGTTGCTGTTGTGCGGCGGAGGCGATGGATCCGTGAGGGTGTGGCGCGATTTCGCATCCAGGGGCGAGGAGACGCTCGTGACCGCGTTCAGGGCGCTGCCGCCGAGGGAGTCGGGGATACGCGTCGCGTCGAGCCCGCAGGGGAGCGGCGTCGGGCTGAACCTCGAACGGCACCCCGGCTCCGGGAGCGCGGATCGCCTCTCCGACGCCGGCGCCGGCGGCGACGGGTCGGTCGCTTCCGTCGCCGCGGTCGCTTCCATCGCCGCGCAGTCGCAGTCGCAGTCGCAGTCGCAGTCGCAACCGCCGCCGCGGCACGGGCACCGCCGCGGCCGCGTCTCGACGTCCGCCGCGCGGCACCGCCCCGCGGTGGTCGTGTGGCAGCAGCAGAGCGGGTGTCTCTACGCGGCCGGGGACGTGCACCCGGCGCCGTTGCTCCGCGTCTGGGACATGACGAGAGAGCTGTGCTTGGAGTCGCTGCAGATGCAATCGCCCGGGACGTGCCTCACCGCGGAGGGTGCGCTGTTGATGGCGGGCGCCGCGGACGGCGCGGTGCTGTCGTACGACCTTCGAACGCCCGCGAGGTTGCTGTCCGTGATTCAGACGCACAGGCATCCGGTGGTTGGGATTTTACTTCAACCGGGAAACACGTCGAACCTCGTCGTGACCGGCAGCGTCAACGGCGAGATGAAGTTCTGCGACCTGAGGAACGCGGCGAAGCCGTTCTTCACCGCGGAGGTGTGCCCCAAACCGCAAAGCACCGCGGGCGGCGGCGCGCTCGGAGGAGGATCGAACGCGGGCGGAGGAGGGTCGACGACGGCGCGTCCGCCGCAAGGGCACGCGCTCACCGCGCTCGTCGCGCACGCGCACGCGGGCGTCATCGCGTCGGGCTCGAGCGAGCGCGCGATCAAGCTCTGGGACCTGGAAGGCAACAACGTCGCGGCGATTCGGTATCGGTACTCCGTGTTGGGGCAACGCGTCGGCGCCGTTCGATCGCTCGCGTTTCATCCGAACCGTCTGTTGCTCCTGTCGGGGACGAACGACGCGACCGCGACGGTGTACAGCGGCGAGGGCACCGGGAACCGAGAGCTGCGGGACGAGTGAGAGAGAACGATTCTCGCTATATCTTTGATAGTCTGTAACAACAACACGTACACGTCGTCGACGCTACCTCCGCACAACGCCGCGGTAGAACCCCGCGTGCGTCTCGCCGTCACCCCCCGACGCGCCGTACATTCGCGCCAAACCCGCGGCGGCGGCGAACACGTCCGCGCGTCCCTCGTCGTCTCCGTCTCTCTCATCAGCATCAGCCCCTCTCGCGCCGGGACCCTCGGATTTCGGCGACAGCGCCCTCGCGAGCGCGGACACGTCGATCGACGACGTCCGGCACGGGCTGCTCGCGCCGCCCGCGCCCACGGCGACGTCCTCGCCCGACCCGCCCCCCGCCGACGCCCTCGCGCGTTTCTCCTCCACGCCGAACGGATCCTCCGGGAGCTTCTCGTCGTCCGCGGCGACGCGCGACGACTCGATCGCGGCGAGCGCGCTCTCCATCGCGCGCCGCACGACGTCCGCCTTCTTCGTGAGCGTGTCCCGCACCGAGCCCGCGTCGTCGATCGCGCCCACGGCGAGGACGCGAAGCAACGCGCGCGCGAGCTGCGCGCTGAGCTGCGGCTTGTACTTGACGTCCATCGCGGACGCCGCGGGCTCTCCTCCTCCTCCTCCTCCTCCTCCTCCTCCTCCGCCGCCGCCGCCGCCGCCGGGTCCGGATCCCTCCGAGTCCAGACCCTCGATCGCGGCGACGACCACCTGCACCGCGTCCGGGTACGCGTTCCCGAAGTCCTCGCGCGAGGACGGCGTCGCGAGCGCGGCGGCGGCGTGCGTTCGGATTTTAAAATTTCGCGCGTCGCGCACGAGCATCAGCAACATCCGCACCGCGAGCGGGGACCACGACGACCCGGCCGCGGCCGCGGTGCGGTTCTTGAACAGCGCGCCCACGGCGTGGCACGCGTTCCACTGCACCTTCGCGTTGCCGGTCGTGAGGCACGACATCAGGGCCTGGATCACCTCGGGGAGCCACGCGCGCGGGGCGTCGTCCGACGACGCGTCGTCCGACCCCGCCGCGGAGAAGTCCGCGGCGGAGACGAGGTGCCCGAGCGCTCGCGCCGCGTTCGCGCGGACTTTGTCCCCCTCCTCCGTGGACGCGGCGACGCACGCGCGCGCGACGCGCGCGAGCGAGCGCGTCGTGACGACGCGGCGCGAAGAAGCGAAAGAAGAAGAAGAAGAAGTACCCGCCGCGTCGGCGTCGGCGCCGCCGTCGAACGCGAGCCGCTCCGCGACGCCCCTCGCCGCGGCTTTCGCGACGGCGTCGCACAAGTTCGCGACCGCCCACGACGCCGGGAATCGCACGCTCTTCGCGCTGTCCCTCAGCGCGGCGAGGAGCAGGTCCGCGGACCGCTCGAGGCCGCCGACCGGGGACCCTAAGACGGCGAGCGCGCCGATCGCGCGACACGCCGCGGATCGCACCGCCGGCGCGGCGTCGCTCTCCAACGCGTCGTGCGGGATCGCGATCAACCGTTCCCGGTGCGCCTCGGTCACGGCGCTCAGCGCGGACGCGGTGAGCCCGTTCACGACCGCCAGACCGGCGGCTCGGACGAGCGGCGACGCGTGCGACGTCGCCGCGGGAAAGTGCGACGCCGCGACGGCGTCCCAGAGCGTCGCGAGCTCCGTCGGCGACAGCGGCGACGGCGACGCGTCGCTCGCGTCGTTCGCGCCGCCGCTCTCGCCGCCCGGGTGGTCGTCCGCGCCTTCGCCGCCGCCGCCGATGATCCCGACGCCGCTCACGGCGACGAGGAAGTCCGCGAGCAGCCGCGCGGACGCCTGCGCGACGCGGTCGCCGCCGTCGCTTTCGGTCAGACTAAGGGTCGTTCCATACAAAGCGACGTCGGGGTGGAGTTGAAAGGCGTCAGATGGAGTTGAAAGTCAACGCGGGCGGGGATTGAACGCGAGGGACCCTGGGCGGAGAGAGAGGACGGCAAATGTCCTTAAGGATCGGCGTTCACCACGCCGACGCGGTCGTATGGGAACCAGTGTAAGGAAGAACGCACCTAAACGTCTCGAGCGCGTCCGCCGCGTCGTTCGTCGTCTCCCTCTTCGTGACCCCGCACGTCGTCCCCGGGAGAACGTCGCGCATGCCGCCGGAGAGGTACAGCGCCGCGACCGCGGGCGCGTGCGCGGTCGCGGCCGCTCGCAGCGCGCCGAAGGCTTCGCACCGCGTCGCCGGGTTGACGCCGCCGGCGGCGGCGGCGAACGACGCCAAGCCGGGGAGGACGTCGACGAGTTTCGCGAGGTCGCCGCTCGCGCCGCGCGGACCCGCGACGTCGGCGGGGAATGGCTCGGGGGCGCGCCCGGAGAGCGCGGCCGTGACCGCGTCGGGGGCGTCCTTCGCGGAGAGCGCCGCCGTGAGCGCGGCGAGGAGCGACGTCCGCGCCGTCGTCGTCTCAGATGAGGACCCCTCCGCGCGGCTCGCCCACCCGCCGCCGTTCCCGCCGCAAACGCTGAGCTCGCCGACGCGCGTCCAAATCACCCCGATCGCCCTCGGCAACAGCGTCGACGGCAACCTCCCGAACGGCGCGGCGTCCACGAACGCGCTCAGCGCCTTACACGCGGCGGGGAGACACGCGAGCGACGGCTCCGCTTGCACGATTCGCACGAGCGCGTCGTGCGTCGTCGCCGCGACGTCGCCGAGCGTGCTCGATAACGACGCGAAGTTCCTTCGAATCACCGCGCCCGTCTTCGGGTTCGTTCGCACCTCCGCGACCGCCATGTACTGCCTCGTGACGTTCCCTTCCAGCAGGTGCGCGATCGCGGAGAGCGCGGCGGCGCGCACGCGAGGCGCCGGGTCTTGGAACGCCACGCGCAACAGCGTCGTCGTCGGCGACCGCGGCAGCAGCTGCGCGCTCGACGCGGGCAACAACTTCGGCCAGTGCGCGTGAAGCGACCGCGGGTTCGCGCGCGCGAGCGCGCCGACACACAGCGCGGCGGCGCCTCTGACTCTGGACGCGCCGAACCGGTCGCTCGCGCCGCCGCCGAGCCCGCACCCCGCGGCGGCGTCCGCGTCCGACTGCGCGTCCGAGTCGGAGGACCCGGCGCCGGCGCCCGCCGCGACGCCGCCGCGCAGATGCGGCGGCACGTACCCGCCCTTGGACGGACTCGCGGGGGGCTGCGGTGTCATGACGGATTGAACGGATTGAAAAGCTCCGGATCCGTCCGATTGCCCCGCCGCGCCGCCGGCGCCGAGGCCGTAGTGAAAGAACCGGCGCGCGTGCGCGACGACGCTCGCCACCGTCGCGTCGTCCCAGCATCGCTTCTCGTGCGCGCCCGCGCCCGCGCACGCGTGCACGCACCGCAACATCGCGGCGAAGTACTTGCTGCTCCCCGCATCCTCCGGCGGCGAATTCGGATTATTCGCGCCGCCCTTCGCGCCGCCGCCGGTGTGCTTGTCGAGGAGCTTCACGAGCGCCTCGCCGATCGCGTCCGTCGCCGCGCGCGACGCGACGCCCGCCGGGGACCTGCTCGTCAACGCCGCGAGCGCGTTCAACGCGTGCCTCGACGTTTCCCTCGCGCCGCCGCCGCCTCTCCTGGCGCTCCCGGGGCGGCTTCCGGACGGCGACGACGCCTCCGATGACGCGGTCGCCGTCGCGTCCGCGGTCGCGATGGTCTCTTTGTACACCGCCGCCGCCGCCGCGTTGGCGTCAGGGTCGATCCTCGAGAGCAGGCACGACAGGTGCGCGTCCACCTCCGAGGGCGTCACGTGCGCGCCGCCCTCTTGCAGGAGCAACGTCGTCACGCGCAGCGCGTCGTCCGCGGTGGACGGCGCGCACGACGGCGACGACAGGACGCCGCGGTAGTACGCCCCGAGCGCGGCGACGGTCTCGGCGTCGACGGCCACCTTCCCCGCGGACGGACTCCCCGCGCTCAGGAGATCCGTCAGCAGCGCGTCGAACGCATCGCGCGGCGGCGACGGCGACGGCGACGACGACGGCGACGGCGACGACGCGTCGCTCGCGTTGATCGCGCGCGCGAGGAGGACGACGTCCGCCGCGATCTCGCTCGGCTTCGCGTCCCCGAGCGGCGGGTGCGCGCGGCCGGACGCGGCGTCGAAGAAGGCGCGCGTCGCGCGACGAAGCTCGTCCCTCGCGCTCGCGCCGCTCGCGCTCGCCGCGCGCTTCACGTCGCGCATCGCGTCTCTCCAGTCCCCGCCCGCCGCGCCGTCGCGACGCGACGGCGCGAACGGCTTGGCGCGGTCGACGTCGGGCGCGCGCCGCGACGACGACGGGGACGGCGACGGGTCGTCCTTCCATCCCCCCATGGCGCGCGACGGCGGCGACGACGCGCGAGATCGTGTGCGGCCGTTGACGAGATCGATGTTGACTCCCGCCCTCGTCATCGTCAGGTATCAGGTGGTTCGAACGAGAGCGAGAGAGGACCGACGTCGAGGGGCGACGAGACGCGCGAGGGGCGAGCGCGAGATCTGAGGTCGGGTTACGAACACGCGACCGGTCGATCGCTCGCGCGCTAGGTCTCTACACTACGGCGTTCGTCGACGCCGCGCGGGGCGTCCGCGGCGGTCGTCGCGCGGCGCATCGCGCGGCGTCAGCGCCGAGCCCTCGCCCGGTCTCCTCCTCAAACACAGCCGTCCGCCCTCGCGCACATCACTGCTTGGTCTGCTCGAAGCGATCTAACTCCGCGCGCAGCTGCTTCGTGAAGTCGTCGTTCGCGTCGGAATCGTCCCAGTCCTCCTCCCACTGCTGCACGTCCTCCGCGTCCTCGTCCTCGTTGGCCCACTCTGCGACGACGAAAGGCGCGAGGGGCGAGAGGTTTTGGTGAGCGCGGAGTAGATGAGATCTCGCGGCGGGAGCACTTTTTTTTAGGTCAGATCGCGCGCGCGCGCGCGACGTCGACGCCGGCTCCCCCGGTCGGCGCGCACCTTCGTTCCCGAACTCCTCGAACTCGTCGTCGCACTCGAGGTCGACCGCGACGTCCTTCTTCGGCTCTTCTTTCTTTTCGTCCGCCATCTTCGTCCGCGCGCGCGTTCGCTCGATGGAGTGACGTCCGCGGTCGGCGACGGCGCGATGAAATTGAAGAAGAGCTCATCGGTCGATCCGAGAAGACGACCGTTGAAAGAAACGCCGGTCGGGGAAAGGCGTCCTCGCGCCGGGGGCACACCACCCCGCGCGAGAGGACCCGGCCGCGTGCGTCGCCGCGCGCCGTCTCCGCGCGTAGACAGGAGGCGCCGATAGGAGACATCGCGATGGCGCCGCCGCGGACGCGCCTCGGGGACATCCCGGTCGCGTCGGCGCGGGCGAATCGATCCGCTGGGGACGACGACGGACGGGGAGGACACCGTCATCCGAACAAGCCACGACGCGCGAGGAGCACGACGCCGCCGCCGCGGTCGCGCACGCCGACGCCGCCGCGGTCGCCCGCGCCCGCGGCGGGGTTCCGCTCCCCCGGACGCGACTGCCCCGCGTGCCCACGCCCCGCGGAGACGCCGCCCGCGCCGCCGGCGACGTCGCACTCGGAAGCGCGCGCGCAACTCCTGGAGCTCATCTCGCGCCACGCGAACGTCGTCGCGGACGGCGTCGTCCCCGCGAACGTCCCGCTCGGGATCGCGCTCCCGCCGCCGAAGCTCGCGATGCGAGAGGTGGAGGCGAAGCGCTTGATGGCGGAGCGCGACGAAGAGGAGAAGCTCCGGAGGCACAACGCGGTGCATCAGATGTTGAAACGCGTCGCGCTGCGCAATCAGGCGGCGGCGGCGAGGCGCGCGAAGGACGCGCCGCCGCCGGCGAAACCCGACGACGCCGCCGCCGCGAACGCGAGGAGGGGCCAACGACAGGGGTCGGTGTACGACCCCGGCAGAGCCGCGCGCGACGCGAGGGCGGGCGCGTCGTCGAAGGAGAATCTCGACGCCGCGAGCGCGGCGCGAAGGGAAGCGGCGCGACGCCGCGTCCCCGCGCGGTCGCCGGAGCGGCCGTGGCGGGTCGGCGTCGACGCGGAAGAACTCGAGCGGCGGCACCAGGAGGCCGCGCGACGAAAACGCGCGAAGTTCGCGGCGGAGGAGGCGGCGAGGAAGGGCGCGGGGAAGAAGATGGGGTGGGCGAAGCCGACGTCGAACGAATCGCGCGTCGAACCCGACGACGCGGCGAAGAAGCCCTCGCCCGCGGAGGACCCCGCGGCGGCGGCCGAGCGTCAGGCGAAAGCGCGGGCTTTCATCTTAGAGAGCAAGGCGAGGTGGAAGAAGAAACTCGCGGAGGAGAAGGCGCTCCTCAGAGAACAAGAGGAGAAGCGCGCGAAGATTAAGCGCGAGGAAGAGGAGCGGTGCCGCGAAAAGGCGCGACTCGCCGCGGAGGCGAGGATCAGAGCGCGCAAGGACAAGGACGCGGACGAGGACGCGCCGCCGAAGAAGAACCCGGCGTGGGTCGACCCGGGCTTGGACGACGGGTCGTCGCGCGCGGACGACCCGGCGACGCCGATCAAGCGGTCGCACGTCGACGACGACGGCGACCCGGTCGAGGCGGCGGCGGCGGAGGCGGCGACGGCGGAGAGCTCCGACGCGGCGAAGACGTCGGATCGGGTTAACCCTGGACCTCCAGTCGCGCTCGTCAGCGCGGGCGGGATCCGTCGCGCCGCGGCCGGCGGCGCGGAGAAGTCCGCGTTCCGCGCGAACCCCGAGATCGTGGACATCCAGGGCATGGTCCAGCGCGGGCGCAGAGGCGGCGCGAGGGACCCGACCGGGAAAGGACGCGTGGAGTATCCGCCGCTTCGGATGAAAAAAAAGCCGCCGCCGTCGACGAGTTCGGCGCCGCCGACGCGCGAGCCGCGGCATCAGCCCCACAGCGCGGAGGAGATCAAACGGCAGATCGCGGAGAGGAAATCGGCCGCGGAGGCCAAGGCGAACGAGGAAGCGAGAGAGGCGCTCGCGCTCAGGGAGGTGGCGCGGAGGCTCGCGGCGACGATCGACGCCTTCTCTGCGACGCAGAAGCAGGCGAACCGCGAAAAGGCGCTCGAACGCGCGAGGGACGCGAAGCCGACTACGCGCTCGCGCTCGCGCGGGATGCGGGACGCGAACGCCGACAACGCCGACAACGCCGCCGCGCACGAGTCCTCCGAGTCGCCGTCCTCGAGCGAGAGCCCGCCCCCGCCGCGCGCGAGGAACGACGGCGACGGCGGGATCGGTTTCGCGATGCGCGCCAGCGCCGCGGCGACGACGGTGCAGTCGCACGTCCGCGGGTACCAAGCGCGTCGGCGCGTCGCGTCCGGGGATCTCACCGCGGGCGGTCCCGCCGCGGGGCGATCGCTGCGGTCGTCGCTGAAGTCGCCCTCGAAGGCGTACGCGCACGCGAGCGGGCGGCGCATCTCGTTCGCGCCCAAGACGACGACGGCGGGCGGCGGCGGCGGCGGCGGCGACGACGACGACGACGTCGAGGTGATTCACGACGAGGAGCTCACGCTTCGCGAATCGCCTCCGAAGAGGGACGCGCTGGCGCTCGCGCCGCCGTCCGATCCCGCGCCGCCCCCGCGGCTGCTCGGCGTGAAGTTCGGGCCGCCGGAGACGCACACGACGCTCCCCGGGGACGCGCACGTGCCGCGACGCGAGGACTGGCTGTCGCAAGGCGCGGGCGGGATGGCGAGAAAGAAGCGACTCGTGAAGCGCGCGGGACAGCGCGTAGAGGCGATGGCGATGGCGCCGGGCGAGGACGACGACGACGCGGCGACGACGGCGCTCGAGCGGCTGCCGTACGCCGCCGAGGACGTCATGCGCGCGTTGGCGCCGGCGGCGGTGGATCGCGATCCGCTCCCGCCGCCGCCGCCGCCGCCGCCCGCGCGAAGCGCGGCGCCGGCGTCCGTCTTTAGTCTGTACGCGTCTCGAGTCGCCGCCGCCGAGGCGTCGCGCCTCGCCGCGGCGTCGATCCCGACGCTGCCTCTCGCCGCCGAGGCGCGCGCGTCGACGTCGTCGTCCGCGCAGACGGAGCCGGTGCCCATCGTCGTCGAGCGCCGGGCCCAGGCGGCGGCGGCGGCGGCGGCGGGGACGGCGGAGACCCCGACGCCGACGCGTCGGCGAAGCCGGCCGGTCTCGCCCGCGCGGCGGTCGCCCGCGCGCCAGGCTCGCCCGCCCAGCGCCTCCACGGCGTTATCCGTCCGCTCGTCCTCGCCCGAGGAGGATGCGGACGTCGAGATCGACCACGGGGTGGACGCGGACGCGGACGCGGACGCGGACGGAAAAGTTCTTAAGGAACGGCGTTCACAACGCGAACGGGATCGTATGGGGACCCGTGTAGAGAACGCCGAGGACCGCGCCGCGGCGCTCGCCGCGCTCGCCGCCGAGCAAGACGACGACGCGGCTGATCGCCTCACCCCGTCCGAGCTCGAGCGCCAGCTCCAGAACGAGCTCTCTCTCTTCGACGAGCTCGGCGCGATGCAGGCGGAGCTGAGCAAGGTGCAGCGCGCGAGGGATCTGTTCAGGGCGGAGCAAGAGGCGGCGGCGTACGCGAGCGTCGTCGAGCGGCAGCGGACGGATATGGACTACAAGCACCAGCTCGCGTTGGCGAAGGAAGACATGGAGCACAAGTTCGAAGCGCGCGCGGCGGATCTGGAGCGGGTCGCGCTGGAGATGACCGCGAAGATGCGCGACGAGAGCCTCGCGCAGGTGAGGGAGGTGACGGAGATGCTCGTCTCGACGCTGAGGAAGTCGCAAGAGGTGGAGCGACGAGAGGCGGCCGCCGCGCGAGCGGACGCCGCGTCGTTCTTCGCGAGGGAGGCGAAGGAGGCGGAGGAGGAGACGAGACGGCTCGCGCCCGCGCCGGACGTCGGCGCGAGCCACCCCGCGGCGGACGACGCGAAGGCGACCGCGAAGGCGGTCGCGGTCGTCCCGCCGCGTCGGGACGACGACGACGACACGTCGTCGTCCGTCGACGAGAGCATTCCGGAGGCGTCCATCTTGGAGGAGTCGACGGCGAACGTTCGCGGGGACGAACGCGAGGACGAGGACGCGGGGCGGGCGTCCCCCACGGTCGTCGAGGAGGATCCCGGCCTCGCCGCGCGCGCGAGCGCGTCGGTGGACGAGAGTTTCGAAGCGCGCGCCGCCGCCGTCGAGCGCGAGATCGCCGCGCGCGAGAAGGACGTGGAGACGAAGCTCCGAGAGCGGAAGCGCGAGCTGAAAGCGCGCGAGCTCGAGGAGAAACAGAGACGCGTCAGGCAGATGGAGGCGGAGCTCCTCGCGCTGGAGGGCGGGGAGCTCGCGCCGTCGCCGCGACCGCGACCGCAAGGAAGAAACGCCCGAGACGCGGACGTTTCCGAGTCCATAGCGGACGAGGTGGCGTTCGCGGACGACGCGTCCGGGTCCGGGTCGGACGCTCCGGGCGTCGACGACGAGGACGTCGTCGTCGAACACGACGAGAGTCCCGGGGGAAGCGACGTCGACGGCGCGATCGACGAGCTGCACCGCGTGGAAGCGCTCGTGCAGAAGAAGCGGACGGAGCGGCGGAAAGATGGAGAGACGCGCGAGTTCGCCGCCGCTGAGGCGTCTGCGGCGGAGACGACGATCCCCGAGGATTTCGAGATTGGCTCCCAGGCGACGACGTCGCCGGCGCCGTCGGAGATTGGCTCCACGGAGGGGACGACCGCGTCCGGGTCGGTCGCGTCCGTCGGTCGCGTCGCGTCCGCGGCCGCCGCCGCGGTGGAAGAAGCGGAGGCGAAGGCGAAGACGCGGGGCGGGAAGCCCCCGAAATCGCCGCCGAAATCGCGGGGCGTCGAGTCCGCCGCCCCCGCCGCCGCCGCGACGTCGAAGTCCACGTCCGCCTCCGCCGCCGCGTCGCGCTCGACGGAGATCGAGGAGTCACTCCCGACGCCGCCGGAGTCCTCGGTGGAACCCGAGGAGTCGATCCAGACGGAGGTGTACTCGGACGACGGATACAGCGGCGACGAGTTCGAGACGTCGCCGGGGCCTTCCCCGCGGACGTCCGCGGGATCGGACCCGGAGCCGCGCGCGGACGACGCGTCGGGGAAGATCTCGCCGTCGCCGTCAGAGCACGCCGCGGACGCCGTCGTCGGCGGCGCCGCGGAGAAGGCGGCCGCGGCGTCGCCGTCCGCGTCGCCGTCGCCGTCGTCGGCGGCGGCGCACAAAGAGAGCGGCTTCTTGACGCACCACGAGGCGAACATCCACATGCCGCACCACGCGCCGCGCCACGAGCCGCCGCCGAAGCGCGTCGTCGTCCCGGGCGCGACGACGGAAGAGCGCGCGCGCGCGGCGGTGGAGAAGCACGTCGAGGCGTTCGCGCGCAGGGTGCTCGACGCCGCAGGCGCCGTCGCCGGCGGCGTCGACGCGGCTACGTTGTCCCGGCTCGACGACGCCGCGTTCGCGTTCGCGACCTCCTCCTCCGCCTCTCCCGCGCACGCGGAGATCGCCGAGCGCGTCCCGGACCGCCTCGTGTTTGACACGATATCGGAGATTCTCGCGGAGCTCGTCCCCGGCGCAGCCGCGCTCGAGCCCGGCGAGGACTCTGTCGTCGGCGGGATCGGGTCGTCGCTCGTCGTCGCCGCGGGCTCCGCCGCCGGCGCGGAGAAACTCGCGGGCGATCGTCTGGTGAAGTTGGTCGGCGATAGGGCGGCGGCGTCGTTGGCGCCCGCGCGCGACGGCGGCGTCAAGGTGGACGACATCGTGCGCGAGGACGTGCGCTCGAGCGACGACTTGGGGTGGTACGACGTGCGCGCGACGGAGAAGGCCATCTTGATTCGGTTATCGGAGGAGATCTTCGACGAGCTCGTCGGCGACACGATCCTCGCCGGGGCGTGACGACGGAAGATCTACAGTACGTATATTTAACGTAGATGCAACGAGAGCGGTAGTAGAAGTTGTGTGATGTAGACGCGTGACGCGTTCGATAAAACGATGCGACGCGCGCCCCACCCCGGCTCGCGAGACGACGGACGCGACGTGCGATTTTTTCGATCCATCACATCACGCCATGGACGGCCGGCTCCCCTTCGAGCCCTGCCCGTCCAGCGGCGTCCCCCCCCGCCCGCCCTTCTTCCTCTTCGCGAGCTTCTCCGCGAGCTCGTTCGCGCTCACCTTGACGCGATCTCGGTCGGGAACCTCGTCCGCGCCCTCCTCGTCCTCCTCGCCGTCGCTGTCGCTGCCGCCGTATTCGAGGCTCATGTCGACGCGGACGTTGTGCTTGCTGATCGTCTTCGTCGCCGCCGCGGCGCCGTCGTCGAGCGCGAGAAGCGCCGTCTTCGCGGCGTCTCCCACCTCCTGGAGCGCCTTGATCAGCTTCTGCTCGCACGCGGCGAGGACCTCCACGACGGTCTCGTCCGAGACGACATCCGGCGGCTGCGCGACGCCGCCGTCGACGACGTCAAGCTTGTCCATCAAGTGCTCCGTCCCGGACTTCATCGACACGAGCACGCGGTGCACCTTCTCGAATTTGGCGCGCACGCGCTCGTTGTTGTTGATGCCGTCCACGAGCGACGACTCGTACTCGTCGACGATTCTCCTGCCGCCGCCGCCGCCGCCGCCGCTGAAGCGGTACTCCTCGAGCGCAGTCCTCGCCTCCTTCCTCGCCGCCTGCAGGGCGTCGAGCTTCGCCTGTCCCTCCGTGGTGAGCAGCTTCAGGTTGATGTTCGTGTCCTCCTGCGTCATGAACTTGTCCATGACGCTGGAGATGTCGCTCACGCCCGTCGCCTCTTTGATCTTGAAGAAGGCGTTTTCGTACGCTCGCATCCGGTCCTGCTTCTCCTTCTTCGCGCGCTCGTAATCCTCCTTGCTCGCCTTGTCGCTCATCAGCGCCTTGTGCTTGCGCGCCTCCTCCGCCCTCTGCGCGTCCGCCTCGCGCTGCGCCGCGCGCGCGGCGAGCTGCGCGTTGATGTCCTCGCGCTGCCGCACCATGTCCCTGCGATCTTTCAACTCCTTGTTCCGCTTGGCGCGCTCCGCCGCCTCCTCCTTCTCCACCCTTAAGAGCTCGCTCTTCGCCATCTCCTTCGCCGCGATCGCGTCGTGCGACATCAGCGTCAGCTGCACGAGGTCTTTCTCCTTCTGTTTCAGCGCCCTCTCGATGAGCGCGAGCTGCCGGTCGAAGTCCATCTTCTCTTCGCCGTGCCGCCGAACGATCTGTTCGTAGGTTTTGCCGATGGACGCCGCCTCGTTGTACTTGATGAGCGCCTTATCGAACCTGTTCTCGAGCTGCCGGATCGTCGACATGACGGGCGTGTCGTCCTCCTCGTGCGTGTGCCCCTCCGCTTCGAGGTCTTTCAGCTTGTCGAGCTTCTGCTCGAGCTCCCTCGTCTTTCGCACCGCCTCTTGCTTGAAGTGGTCGTACTTCGCCTTGAGATCTTTGCTGAAGGACTGCAGGCGGAAGAGCTCCTCGTTGTTCTCCGGGCCGAGCTGCTCGGGCTTGGGCTTGTCCACGTTCGAGACCGCCTGCTCCGCGAGCTGCGCGATGAGCATCTTGTTTTCTCTCTGCGGCGATTCGATCGGGAGGGCCGGGCGGTGAGCGTTTGGATCGTGGAATCGTGATTGATTCATTTCGGGGGGGGGCCGGTCAGCGCGATCGGAAGGGGGCGCGCGCACCTTCGCCGCGGTGATCGTCTCCTTATTCTGCTTCATCGTCCATTGCGACGTCTCGAAGTACGCCTTGCGATCGCCCTCTGCAGATAGATCGGGGAGGTTCGGACGGGTCGGTCAGTCCGCGACGATGGATGGGTGGGGCGGAAAGACGCGAGCGAGGGAGGGGACGACGGCGACGGCGATGGCGATGGCGTCGCGCGATCGCGGCGCCTTCGCGCACCGAGAAGCGCGTATTTCCTCTGCAGCTCCGAGAGCTCCTCCTCCGGGGTCGCCATCGTGCCTCGCGCGCGTCGCTCGCGCGCGCGCTAAGCGGGAGAGGAGGAGGAGGAGGAGGGGGGAATTCGCGGCGATTCCGTCCGCGCGCGCGCGTCCTCGACCCCGACGGCGACGCGATTACCGCTTCCGCGCGTTCGAACCGCGTCCGCGGAGTGTCGTTCGCGTCCTCGAGCGCCGGCGCGTGTCCTAGCCGCGCGCGAACGTCGCCCCGCGAGCGCGACTGCGTCGCGACGACCGCGCGGAGCTGTTTTTGGGTTGGCTTTCGGTCGCCGCGATATTCCGTACGAGTACGTGTTCGCGTACGCGCACGGACAATCAGTCTGGCGCGAGCGCGACGCGCGCGACTCAAGAACGACAGTCTAATCGTCCCCAGCCAGACGCGGTCAACACTCCGGCCGCCCAACTTTCGAAAAGTTTGTGATGAGAACGTGACGATCGGTCGCCGCCGAGGCGAAGAACGCGCGCGCCGTCCGCGTCACAACGCCTCGCGCCACCGCGACGCGCGTCACGTCGATCGAAAGACGTCTTCGCCGTCTTCCCGCGACTCGCGCTCGTCGTGACACGCGCACACCGCGCGCGATCTAGCTTCCGCGGCGCGTCGGAAACGAACATCTTTCTTATTTCCCGCGCCTCAACAACCGCGAGAAGAAGAGAAGAACGCGCTCGTCGGTCGCTATGGGGGAGAAGACCGCGAATGGTGGCTCCACCGGGACGTCCGCGGGCGAGCGCTACAGCGACAACAAGCTGAAGCACGACATCCGGACGTCGAACATGAACGCCGCGAAGAAGCTCGCGGACGCGATCCGAACGTCGTTGGGCCCGCGAGGGATGGACAAGATGCTCGTGAGCGGGAACAACGACGTGACGATCACCAACGACGGCGCGACGATCTTGAATAAGATGGAGGTGTCCCACCCCGCGGCGAAGATGCTCGTGGAGCTGTCCAAGTCCCAGGACATCGTCGCGGGAGATGGGACGACGTCCGTGACCGTGCTGTGCGGCTCGCTCCTCAACAAGTGCGTCTCGCTGCTGACGCGGGGGGTGCACCCCACGGTCATCTCCGATGCCATGGGCCTCGCGTGCGACAAAGCGTGCGAGATCTTACAGGAGATGTCCATCCCGCTCGATATCAGCGATCGCCCGGCGCTGATCAAGGCGGCGACGACGTCGCTCGGGAGTAAGGTGGTCGCGCAGTACAGCAACGTCCTCGCTCCGATCGCGGTGGACTCGGTGCTGAAGATCATGGACCCCGAGCGGCCCGAAATGGTGGACCTGAAGGACATCAAGATCCACCGCAAGGGGGGCGGCACGATCGACGACACCGAGATGGTCCCGGGCCTCGTCTTGGACTCGAAGTCGTCCAAAGCCGCGGGCGGGCCCACCAAGGTGGAGAACGCGAAGGTGGCGCTGATTCAGTTTTGCATCTCGCCGCCGAAGACGGACATGGAGAACTCCGTCGTCGTGAGCGATTACGCGCAGATGGATCGCATCTTGAAGGAGGAGAGGAATTACATCATCGGCCTGATCAAGAAGATCAAAGCCTCCGGGTGCAACGTGCTCTTGATCCAGAAGAGCATCCTCCGCGACGCGACGACGGACCTCGCGCTGCACTACCTCGCCAAGGCGAAGATCCTCGTCGTGAGGGACGTCGAGCGCGACGACGTCGAGTTCATCTCCAAGACGCTGAACTGCCAGCCCGTCGCGCACGTGGATCAGCTCACGGCGGACAAGCTGGGACACGCGGAGCTCGTGAAAGAGGTCCAGTGCGGCGCGGATAAGATGGTGAAATTCACCGGGATCAAGGACATGGGGAACACCGTCTCCGTGCTCTGTCGCGGCAGCAACAAGCTCGTGATCGAGGAGGCGGATCGCTCCTTGCACGACGCGTTGTGCGTGATTCGATGCCTCGTGCAGAAGCGGTTTCTCATCGTCGGCGGCGGCGCGCCCGAGGTGGAGGTGTCGCAGCAGCTCGGGAAGTGGGCGAGGACGCTGTCCGGCATGGAGGCTGTGTGCGTGAAAGCGTTCGCGGATGCCATGGAGGTGATCCCGTACACGCTCGCGGAGAACGCGGGATTGAACCCGATCGAGATCGTCACCGAGCTGCGCAACAAGCACGCGACGCCCGGGAATGAAAACTACGGCATCAACGTCCGCAAGGGGACCATCACGGACATCCTCGCGGAGAACGTCGTGCAGCCGCTTCTCGTGAGCACGTCCGCGCTGTCGTTGGCGACCGAGTGCGTGCGGATGATCTTGAAGATCGACGACATCTGCCCGGTGCGCTGATCGCCCGCCGCGACGGAGGGCGGGAGGAGAGAGAAGAGAGGACGGAGGGAGAGAGAAGAGAGAGAGAAGACGGAGAGACGGCGTCGGCGCAGTCGAGCCGGCCGCGCTCAGACGGACGTTTCTGATCGCGGACGCGTGCAGTGCACATTTTTTCACAAAGAATCGTATTCACAAAGCTCCCTCGACGTGGCTATGGGTACGTCTGCGGTCGCGCTCCCCGCCGCGGTGATGATGATCAGATCTCTTCGGCTCCTCGCTCTCACCCTCCGTTCTCTCACCTCACGCGGACTTCATCCCGGACGAGTAGCACAGCTCCTTCACCTCCGCGGTGACGTCGATCGGGTTCTGCGCCGCGTGCGGGTGCTCCTCGGAGCCGTACACCTTGAGCTGCGTGAAAAGCTCGCGGCCCTTGCGGTTCTTCGGGAGCATCCCGCGCACTGCCTTCTCGACGATGCGTTCCGGGATCCGCGCCTGGAGCATCTTAAACGACTCCTCCTTCATGCTCCCGGGCCGCCCCGTCTCGTGACGCTTGTACAGCTTATCCTCGAACTTCTTGCCGGACACGACAACCTGCGACGCGTTGACGACGACGACGTACGTGCCCATGTTCATGCTCGGCGAGTACGTCCCGACGTTCCCTCCGCGGAGGTACGTCGCAACCAGCGTGGAGAGGCGGCCGAGGCGGAGCCCCGCGGCGTCGATGACGACCCACGGCTTCCTCGAGTTGTCCGTGTCCTCGCCCTTGGGGTAGTACGACGTGTTGAAGACGTCCTGTTCGATTCGATTCGATTCGTCGGTAGGAGGGGTCGGGGTGGGCGGGTGAGTCGGGGCGAGATGAGATGAGTGAATTCTCCGCTGCCACCGCAGCGTTATCCACCGCCAACAGCGCGGCGACGTCGACGCCGGGAATGCGCGCGCGCGACGCGAGGAACCGCGATACGAGGCGAGCACGACGCGCACCTTGCCCATCTTCTCGACCGTGACGCCGTCCGGAAGCGACACCGCGGCGCGGACGGTCGCGTTCACGCGCGCGGCGGAGCGAACGGACGCGCGCGGGACCGCGGCACCGCCCGTGAAGCACGCCGACTTCTTCGCGCCTGAGGAGGAGAATCGAGACGAGACGACCGGAGGAAGGGCGGGCGGGGGAGGTCAGCGACGCGCGCGAGGTCGAGATGAGCGGACGCCGTGTCGCTGCCGTGTCCTACGAGCGCGCCCGCGGCGAGAAATCGCGCCGCGGCGGCGCGCGAGCGGCCGCGACGGCGGCGTTCCGTCGCCGCGACGCGGACGAGGGTTTAGGTCAGGTTTCTTCCCCGCGCGAGAGAGCGGCGACGGAGACGCGGGAATCGCGCGCGCACCGGTCGCGGCCTTGTTCACGGCGACCCCCCCGAGTTTAGCTACGAGCGCGTTCGCGGACATGGCGTGCGCGGCCATGACGTCCGAGGCTGTGTCGGTCGCGCGTCACGTGGTGCGACGTCGATTACGGAGCGAGCGCGGACCCGACGCTTTTTGGAGCGGTACAGTATCGGTGCGGTGTCTCGGAGGAGTGGAATCGACCGACCGCGGATACAAATTTTTAGAAGCTGAAGGTCGTGGTCGCGGTCGCGGCAGCCAGCCGTTTGGAATCTCCGTGTCACCATCACAAGCTCGCTCGCGTGCGGCGCCAGGGGCGCGCATCGGCGAGCGATGTACGGTGCCGCGAGCGCGCACGCGGCGGCCATGGAACGCCGCCGCGCGGCGACGGCGGCGTCCGCGTCCTCGTCCAGCGCCGGCGGCGGCCTCGCGGGAGGAGGAGGAGGAGGCCCACCGCGAAGCATCGCGAGCGCGCTTCCGCACGGCGCCGCGCCGCGGCTGCCGTCGTTCAGGCACGCGGACCGCCCGCGCCTGCGCGCGCTGCACACGACGTGCGCGGTGCTTCTGGACATGCTCGGCGACGACAAAGGGTTGGGCGTCGGCGACGCGCTGTTCCTCCCCGGCGAGGCGTGGAGGGACGCCGACCGCGGCGCGGACGCGGTGGCGGACGCGAGAGAGTACGCGCGCGAGGAGATCTTGGACGCGTGCGCGAAGGACGCGCGCGCGAGAGGCATCGCGCCGGGCGTCCTCTCCACGCTGATCCTCGAGCTCCTGCGCGAGCTCGACGACAGCCTCCTGACCGGCAAGCTCCACGAGGCGTTCGCAGCCGCGGTGAAGATCAAGGACTATCGCAGCCGGCTGTACGTCACGCGGCTGCTCCTCGACCGCCTCCCCGCGGATCGACGCGCCGCGTTGGACGCGCTCGTGCGCGTGCTCGCGCGCGTCGCGCCGCGGCTGGACGCGCCAAGATCTCCGTCATCCTCTCGCGCGACGTCCTCCTCGCGCGACGTCGCGATGGACGCCAAGGACTACGACGCGCTCGTGAAGACGATGGCCCCGGGCGTGCTGCGGAGGAAAGGCGGCGGCGGCGGCAGCCCGCCGAAGGCGCAGGGCGGCGCGCCGGGCCCGAGACGCGGCCTCGCCGCGGACATCCTCTTCGACGGCATCGAGGACGGGAAGCGCGCGGCGAAGCTTCTCAAGGATATCGTGCGCGAGCGCCTTTACTTGTTGGATAAAGCCGCGGTGGTCGTCGGCGAGGACGACGACGGATACGCCGCGGGTTCCGCCGCTTCCGCCGCGAGGAAAGGAGGCAAAGAGAGAGGCGACGACGACGACGCGTGGTTCGGATACGCGTCCGCGACGAAAGCGGCGAGGCCACCCCAAGCAGGGGGCAGCGCGTCGTCGTCGTCCTCGCCCGGCGACCGCGAGAACGTGGAGCCGAACCCGGTGTTGCGGGTCAAGACGAAACTTAGGTGCGTTCTATACACTGGTCCCCATACGACTGCGTTGGCGTGGTGAACGCCATTCCTTAAGGACTTTTCCCGGCGTGTCTCACCGCCCACCCCACGCTTTCAATCCCCGCCATCGACGCCTTTCAACTCCAACTGACGCCTATGAACTCCACCCGGACGTTTGCTTGTATGGAATGGCCCTTAGCGGCGCGGCGGCGTCGAAGGACAGAGACGAGCCGTCGTACGCGATGGAGGGCGCGTTGACGCCGGAGAGGACCTACGTCGGGTTGCACGATAAGCGCGCGAGTCGGAGTCGGTTCGCGGGCGAAGCGACGCGCACGCTCACGCCGCCGAGGAAGACGTTCGACCCGACGGACCCGCTGAGGAAGGTGGAGCGACGTCCGGTGACGCCGTTGCTTTCGCCAGAGAAGAGAGAGGAGGCGTCGCGCGCGATGCCGCTGCTGTCGCCGAGCAAGTCGCCTATCGCGTTGACCACGAAGGTGGTCACGGCGGGCGGCGGCTCGAGGTTGACCGCGCGGGACCGCGCGCGGCGGCTCGCGGGGGACGCGCGCGAGAGCGGCGCGGCGAAGGCTGGGAGGTCGAGCCTGGAATCGAGGCTCGAAGCCGCCGCGGTCGGCGGCGGCGGCGGCGGCGCGTCGAGGCGGGAGAAGCAACAAAACACGCAGCCGCCGGCGTCGGCGTCGGCGTCGGCGTCGGCGTCGGCGTCCGCGTCCGCGTCCGCGCGCGCGGTCGTCGACGCGACACCCGTCGGGCTGACCCGCACGGAAGCGCAAGCCGCGGCGAGGGAGGCGAAAGCCTCGCGGGACGCCGAGGCGGAGCCGTCGGGCGCGAAACGACGGAAACAGGCGGTGTCCCTCGGCGAGCTCAAGCGAAGGATCCAACTCACGGACGTGAACAAGCACAAAGCCGCGGCGGAGGACGTGGACCGTCTGCGGGAGATCAGCGCGAGGCTGCGGCCGGCGCCGGTCGCGCCGGTCGCGGTCGCGGCAGTCGCGGTCGCGGCGCCGCCGGGGGAGATACCGACCGCGGCGCCTGTGGACGGGGACCGGGACGCGCGCGAGGGGCGGGCGCGGCAGCCCGCGCCGGTCGCCGTCGCGGTTCGTCGGTTGAAACAGTCGCGGCGAGAGCGAGCGCCGTTCGCGCCCGCGCCCGCGGCCGCGGCGTCGTCCGAGCCGCGATACGAGGGCGAGGATTGGGTCGTCCGCGAGCGGCTCGAAGCCGGCGACGACGACGCGAGCGACGGCGAGTTTGAGTTTACCACCCCCGCGGCGGGCGACGCGGGCGGGGGATTTGCCGTCCCCGCCGCCGCCGCGCCGCCGCCCGCGGCCGCGGGCGCGGTGAACCTCCCGCACGGCTACCGCCGCGCCGCGCCCGGGGAAGAGGGCGCGGTTCGAGCGAAGGACGCGGCCGCGACGGGGATGGTCGCCACGGACGCCGGCGCGGCGTTGGGTTTAGAAGACGCGAAGGCTCTTCGAGACGCCGCGCGCCCGGACGCGGCGTTGACCGACCTCGCGAAGCGCGTCCGCGGGATCGGCGCGAGCGCGAGCGGCGCGAGCAGCGCGAGCTCGGGAGGCGGCGGGTCGGGGCTGCGCAGGGGGCTTCGCAACGCGAGGCGTCACGCGGAGGCGGCGACGACGTCGAGCGGCGGCGCGAGCGACGCCGCCGCGGGAGCGACGCGGCATCACGTCTCGGGCGCGTCGTCCGCGGCACCGACCAGCGGCGGCGGCGCTGGAGACGCTCGCGCGCCGCGCGCGCCGGGCGCGCGCGCCGACGCCGACGCCGACGCCGCGGCGCGCGCGCACGACGCTCACGCGGCTCGAACCGGCGACGCGGCGGCGGCGAGCCAGGACGAGTTCGTCAAGTTGACGTCGCGCAATTCCCTGGAGCACGTCTTGGCGCAGGTCGCCGCGGTCGGCGGGCTCGACGACCTCGACGTCGACGCCCTGAGCGACGGCGACGGCGACGACGCGTCGCCGTCCGGCCCGGTCACGACGAAGGACGTCGAGAAGATCATCGCGCTCGTGAAGATGAAGCGTCGGCGGAAGCGCGAGGCGAGGGAAAACGTCAAGAACGAAAAAGAAGCCGCCGCCGCCGCCGCGCGCGGCGGGCTCACGGGGAAGATGGCCGCAAACCTCGTCGGCGACGGCGTCGAGAGCGACGGCGAGGACGACAGCTGCGGCGACGACGACGACGAGGCCGCGGCGGAAGCGGCGGAGGAGGAGAAGGCGAAGCGCGCGGACGCGCGGGCGAAGTTTGGCGAGGACAAGGTGAAGCACATCGAGAACCAGCTCGAGGGCGCGGGGAAGGCGAAAGCGACGGGCGGTCCGCCGCCGCCGCCTCCGCAGCCGCCGAAGGGCCGGCTCCCGGGCGCGCCGCCGCCTCCGCCTCCGCCGCCGCCGAAGGGCCGGCTCCCGGGCGCGCCTCCGCCTCCGCCGCCGCCTCCGCCTCCTGGGGGTAGACTTCCGGGCGCGCCGCCGCCGCCGCCGCCTCCGCCGCCGGGCGGGAAACTCCCGGGCGCGCCGCCGCCGCCGCCGCCGCCGCCGCCGGGTGGGAAGCTGCCAGGCGCGCCTCCTCCTCCTCCGCCGCCGCCGGGCGGTAAGCTGACGGGCGCGCCGCCGCCTCCGCCGCCGCCGCCGGGCGGCAAAGGACCTCCCCCTCCGCCGCCGCCGCCGCCGGGCGGCGCGAAGGTGGGCATCGCGTCCGTCGCCGCCGCGGCGAAGGTGGCGAAGGCGGTCAGGAAGGTGAAGATGTTGCACTGGGACAAACTCCAGCCGCACTCGGTGCGCGGCACGGTGTGGGAGACGGCGACGGACGGAAGCATCGACCTGTCCCAGCTCGAGTCCATGTTCGCGCTCGAGGACGCCAAGGCGAAGAAGAAGGAAGACGATCCGAACAAGCCGAAGGTGGTCTCCCTCATAGACGCGAAGCGCTCGCTGAACATATCGATCCAGCTCGCGGGGATTCGGATGCCGTTCAAGAAGATCAAAGAGGCGCTCATGAACATGGACGACAAGACGTTGCAGGTGGACAACCTCGCCATCTTATCCCTGTGCGTCCCGACCGTGGATGAGATATCCATCGTGAAGCGCTACGACGGGGATAAGACCATGCTCGCGACCGTGGAGCAGTTCTTCTTGCAGGTGATGCCGATCCCGCGTTTACAACACAGGGTGGACGCGTTGATCTTCAAAGGCACCGCGGCGGCGAACGTCAAGAAGGTGTGCGCGGACTACGCCGCCGTGCGCGCCGCGGCGGACGACTTGAAGAACTGCAAGCACTTCGTGACCGTCCTCGAGGGCATCCTCGCCGTGGGGAACCACCTGAACGGCGGGACGTACCGCGGTCAAGCCGCGGGGTTCAGACTCGAGACGTTGCTACGTCTGACGGACGTCAAAGCCGTCGATCGCAAGACGTCGCTGCTGCACTTTGTCGTGAAGGAGCTGCGAAAGACGTCGCCCGGGGTTGAGTTTTTATCCACCGAGCTCGAGACGGTGAAGAAAGCGGCGGGGTTGCACTTGGACGGCACGAAAGAGCTCCTGGGGCAGCTCGTGAAGGGCCTCGAGAGCGTGAACGACGAGGTTTTGAAAGCCGCGGGAGCCGCGCCGGAGCAAAACGAAAACGAGACTCACGATAAGTTCAGGGACGTCATGCTTCCGTTCGCGCAAGCCGCGGACGCGGAAGTGACGAGAGCGAAGACGATGGCGGCCGAGGCGCAGGACGCGATGAAGGCGACCACGGAGTTTTTCGGCGAGCCGTTCAAAGCGGACAACGCCGGCAGAGTCTTCAAGCTCGTCAAGGACTTTTTAGTCACGTTCGACAAGGTGCAGAACGACATGAAGATGCGAGAAGAAGCCGAAGCGCGCAAGATGAAACACGAGCAAGCGGCGCGGTTGCGCAAGTCCGCGTCCACGAACGCGCTCTCGCCGGAGAGCAAGGCGAACGCGATCAAGTTGAAGTCGAGCCAAGGCGACCGCCCGCTCGGCGGCGTCGACATCGTCGCGGAGATGCACGACGAGCTCAAGGCGAAGGCGCCGCGGCGGGAGGCGGGGGAGAGCCCGAACTCGAAGCTGTCGCGGATGAAAGCGTTGGGGTTCACGTCCACGTCGCAGCTTTTGGAGTACGACGCGTCGACGACGACGACGACGCGGTCGCCGAGCGGCGGCGCGAAGGCGGCGAAGACGACGGCGGCGACGAGCCCGGGTCGGGTCAAGACGACGCCGGGGTCGCCGACGAAGTCGACGGCGTCGCCGCGGAAGTCCGTCGGCGACGTCAAGGTCGAGCTCGACGCGATCGCGGAGAGCCCGTCGCCGCGGTCGAGGACGCGCGGGTCGCCGTCGTCGCCGATGGCGTTCTTGACGAAGAAGGCGAACAGCGAGAGCCCGAGCTCGAAGCCGAGCTCGCCGGCGCCGACGTCTCCGAGGTCTCCGAAGTCTCCGAGGTCGCCCAAGTCGCCGTCGCCATCACACTTTTTGCGCGCGGCGAAGGAGCGTCGCGGGATTGGGAGCCCGACGCCGGCGGCGGCGGAATCGGAATCCATCGCGGACGAGAACGCCGCGCCGGAGTCGCCGTCGTCGCCGTTCCGGGAGGGGCTCGACCTTCTGAGGACGCTCGCGGACGAGGGGTTCGACGTGGAGCCGCCGGCGGCGGCGGCGGAGACCGAGGCGGCGGCGGTTCCGGTTCGAGCCGCCGGCCCTCCGCCGCCGCCGCCTCCCCCTCCTCCCGGGCTGATCTCGATGGGCGCGCCGCCGCCGAAGCGCGCCGGCGGACCGCCGCCGCCTCCGCCGCCGCCGCCTCCCGGGCTGATCTCGATGGGCGCGCCGCCGCCGCCGCCGAAGCGCGCGGGCGGACCGCCGCCTCCTCCTCCGCCGCCGCCGCCCGGGCTGATCTCGATGGGCGCGCCGCCGCCGCCGCCGCCGCAGCAGCCGCAGCAGCCGCAGAAGCGCGCGGGCGGGCCGCCGCCTCCACCTCCGCCGCCGCCGCCGGGGCTAATCTCCATGGGCGCGCCGCCGCCGCCGAAGAGGAACGCGCAGCAAACCGCGGCGAACGCGATCGCGGCGGAGCTGTCGCGAAGACAACAGTAGACTAGCTAGCCAGCAGTACCTATCTATTTTCGAGAGGACGACGTCCGAACGTGATTCGACTTCGCCGCGGTGGACTGCGTTCTTATTAAATCCAAACCACTTTCTCTTTCGCTCTCTCTCTCTCTCTCTCTCTCTCTCTCTCTCTCTCTCTCTCTCTCTCTCTCTCTCTCTCTCTCTCTCTCTCTCTCTCTCTCTCTCTCTCTCTCTCTCTCTCGAGTTCACACCCCCCCACCCCCTAACTCGCCCGCTCCCCGCCCTCCGACGCCGACGCGTCAGATGAACGGCAACAGGAAGTACTCGCTGTAGAACAGGTACCAGATGTTCTGGTAGTACCGCTGCACCGCGCCCTTCGTGAATCCCTCCGACTCGAGCGCCTTCGTCTTGAGGATCAAGAACGCGGCGAAACACGCGTGCGCGCCGATCATCAGAGGCTGGTTGAACCACGACGCGTTCACCGCCGCCGCGCCGCACGCGAAGACGTAGTTCGCGAGGAGTAACCCGCTGCCGAGGTACGACACCCCTTTCACGCCGAGCTTTGTCGCGAACGTGTCGATGTTGAACTTTTTGTCCCCCTCGATGTCCGCGAGGTCTTTCGTGATCGAAATCACCACCGCGAAGACGGTGACGAACGAGGTTATGAACAGGATTGGCGGCGACCACGAGAACGCGAGACCGATCGCCGCGGTCGTCGCGTGGTGCACGCCAAAGTTGAGCAGGAACCCTCTCACCGTCGCGATGATGCAAAACGCCGCGAGCGCGGAGCGCTTCAGCCGCAGCGGCGGCACGGAGTAGATGGTCCCCAGGAACAGCCCGAAGAGGTAGAGCTTCGATATGAGCGGCCCGAACTGCGACGTCACGATCGCCGCGCCCGCCGCGGCGAAGATCCCGCACGCGGCCCACGCGAGCGGGACGCTGAGCTCCCCCGCGGCGACGGGCAAGAAGGGCTTGTTCACCTTGTCGATGTCCACGTCGTAAATCTGCGGGTCGATCGAAAAATGAATGTTCGTCGGTCAGTTGAAAGGGGACGCGATCAAACGTCGACGCCGAGGGCTGGGTCGGGTCGGGTTTGAAAAACGAAACGTTCGCGGAGCACGCGCCTGGTTGATGCCCACGATGTATCCGTTCCCGCACAGCAGCGCGAGGAGGCCGAGGAGCGCCTTCGGGACGAGCGCGAGCGTGAAGAGCTCGGGGTGGTGCAGCAGCACGCGCGTCACGATCGCGGTCGTGCCGAGGATCGTCCCTCGGATCGTGTGCGGGCGGACGAATTTCCACACCGCCTCGAACACGTTCTTCGCCTGTCCCGTGGCGTCGACGGACGACTCGTCGTCGGACTCGTCCGCGCCGCCGGGCGCCGCCGCGGCCGCGGAGGACGCGACGACGAGCGCGTCGCCGCGCGCCGCCGCGCGTCGGGAGGAGGAGGAGGCGGCGGAGGCGCTCTCGCCTCGCAGCGCGATGGACAGCGCGCACGTCGCGATCGTTCGCGTCGACGCGAATCCCGACACCGCGACCGCGCCGGCGTCGTTCGACGACGCGTCCGCGACGCCGCGCGCGCGCGACGCGGCCGCGACGCCCCCGCGCGCCGCGACGCCTTTTCTGATGGCAGGAGCGCGCGCGGCGGGGTTCGCGACCCCGCCCGCCGCCGCGCGATGCGTCGCCGCGTGCGACATCAGCGCCAAGTGGAATGCCGTCGACGTGTCGGCGGCTCACACGAGGCGAGGTCTTATCGAGATCAGATCTCTCGCGCGGATCGCGGTTCCGCGGACACGCGCACCCAAGCGCCCCCCTCGCCGCATTCGTCCCCGCGCGAGGACGCGCGGAGAGAACGGAACGATGCACCGAACGATCACGAGCGCGAGCTGCTCTTCCGCGGCGTCGACCGCGGGGCGCGCGTGCGCGGCCGCGCGCGGCGTCGCGACCCGCGCGCGGGCGCGCGCATCTTCTTTCACGTCGCGCATCTTCTCCCACGGAGCGCGCGTCTCGAAAAACGCGACGACGATTTCGACGCGTCCGCGCGCGGCCTCGGACGACGGCGAGGCGTCCGGCGGCGCGGAGGTCAGCCTGATGTCCAAGGCGGAGGGCCTCCTGGAGAAAGTCGGCCTGTCCCTCGGGCCGATCGGGATGACCCTCGGCGAGAGCAAAGCGAAGCTCGAGGCGTCCGTCGACGACGATTTCGACGACGACGACGTCGAGAACGACGAGAATGACGTCGTCGCGAAGGGCGGCGAGATGCTCGACAACGCGGGCCTATCCCTGGGCCCCATCGGCATGACCCTCGGCGGCGCTAAAGCTAAAGCTAAAGCTAAAGCCGCCGGCGTCGGTCCGGACGCCTCCGCCGGCACCGGCGCGAGCGCCAAGCCCAAGTCCATCGCGCCGCTGACCACCGCGGAGTGGCGCGCGAAAAACGTCAACCCTGACGGCACCGTCGACCTCTTCGTCGAGGATCACTACAACGTCGCGTCGCGTGTCGCCGGCGGCGTCGAAGGCCTCTCTCAGGGCGGAGGGTCTTCTGATAACAATCTCGTGAACGTGGAGAACATCGCGTGGAGCGGGCTCCCCTCGGACGCGGTGGACGGCGCGCGACACCGCGTCGCGGTGACCGATCACGTCACCGGCGAAGTCCTCGAGCTGGACGTCCCGGAGAACCGATACGTGCTCTTCGAGGCGGAGCAGGAGGGGTGGGAGCTTCCCAACGCGTGCCGCATGGGCTGCTGCACGAAGTGCGCGGTGCGAGTCACGAAAGGGAAGCTCGAGCAGCGAGAGGCGCTGGGGCTGTCGAGGCGGTACAGAGACGAGGGGTACGCGTTGTTGTGCGTGAGCACCGTGGTTGCGGGTCCGGTGGAGTGCGTGACGCAGGACGAGGAGGAGATCTACCAGAAGCAGTTCGGGGAGGTCTTCAACGAGCTCGCGGCGGATAAGCGGAGTAAGGCGGTGGTCAGGGACGACTTCGCGCTGGAGATCGCGGACATGGACGAGTGAGCGAGCGAGCGGTCCGGTCGTCGGGGGAGGCGCGGGGCGGATAAAGCGTGTGTGTGTTTCGATACCAGTTTTGTTGTTCGGTCGTTCGAACGCGAACGCGAGCTCGCGGCAGTTCAAACAAATAAGATCCCGCCGCGCTCCGTCGATCGCACCGCATCGATCGCCCTCGTCCCCCGAGCACGGCACGGCGGCGCGAGAACGATGGCCGAATCCGAGGGAGGCCGCCGCCCGCGACGTGCCGCGGCGAAAGCCGCGCTGCTCGCGAACCAGCACCAGAGCGCGCCCAGCGCGATGCACTACGTCGGCTACGTCGAGGAGGAGGAGACCCCGGAGATGATCATGCAAAAGTTCGCGCAGCTGGAGAAGATCCAGGAGGAAGCCGCGGCCGCGAAGGAGGCCGCCGCGACCGCGAAAGCCGCCGCCGCCGCGGAGGCGGGCGATGACGCGCCCATCGACGACGACGCGACGAACGACTCGAACGCGAAGAACGACGACGACGGCTTCGACGAGGAGATGCTCCTCAAGGTGTTCAAGCAGACGTCGCAGTTCAGCATGAAAAAGGCGCTCGCGGAGGAGCTCTTCTTCGACGGCGACGCGATGGACCACGAGGACGACCTGTGGGACGACGAGGCTGGCGGGTGGGATCTGAACGACATCTTCGGCAAGGCGAAGCGCAAGGCGTCGAGAATAGCGCGCGGGCCGCGAGAGCCGCGAGCGCCCAAGGCGCCGAAAAAGTCGCACATGATCACCGCGTACAACAGTGACAATCAGGCGCGTTCTGTACACTGGTCCCCATACGACCGCGTCGGCGTGGTGAACGCCGTTCCTTAAAGACTTTCTCTCCCGGCGTCTCTCTCCGCCCGCCCTCGCTTTCAATCCCCGCCCTCGACGCCTTTCAACCCCATCTGACGCCTTTCAACTCCACCCCGACGTTCGCTCGTACGGAACGGCCCTCAGATGCTCATGAGGAAGAAACGCGAGGTGGACCCGCGCGCGCCGGTGCCGCTGAAGCTGCCGCCGCACCCGATCCCGGTGTCGTGGGGGAAGGTCATCGCGCCGTACAAACCGCAGAGCGAGATCGACGCCGCGTTCGAGGCGCTGCCGGACTGCGTGCACGTGAAGAGAGACATCGTCGCCGACGCGGAGACGTTACACGCGTCGCTCGGCGGCGACTTCCTCGCCGTGCACGCCAACCCGCCGTGGGACATCGAGAGGAGCCCGGACCGCGGCGGCGTGACCGTGGAAGATATCGCTCGCATCCCGTTCGAGAAGCTCGCGCCGTACGGGTTCGTGTTCATGTGGGTCGAGAAGGAGAACCTCAGCGAGGTGTGCGACGTCATGTCGGCGAAACAGGTGCGTTCTATACACTGGTCCCCATACGACCGCGTTGGCGAGGTGGACGCCGATCCTTAAGGACTTTGCCCGTCGTCTCTCTCCGCCCACCCCTCGCTTTCAATCCCCGCCCTCGGCGCCTTTCAACTCCACCTGACGCCTTTGAACTCCACCCCGACAATCGCTTGTATGGAACGACCCACAGTTTGGCTACGTCGAGAACATGACGTGGGTGCAGATGCGTCCGAACAACGTCATCGCGAACAGCGACGCGACGTACCTCGCGCGGTCGCATCGCACGATGGTGATGTTCCGCCGGGACTGTCGCGCGTTCCCGGCGGCGAAGGCGGTCGAGCTCAGGCATCAGCGGAGCGCGGACGTGACCTTGGACGCGTTGGCGACGACGAAGACGGGACGTCGCGCGATCCCCGCGCACGTGTACAAAGCCATGGAGACGCTGCTTCCAGAGGCGTACAAGGTGGGTCACCCGGGGAAGCTTCTGGAGCTGTGGTCCGAGCCCGGGCCGGAGGGACGACGATCGGGGTGGACGACGGTGGCGGACGCCGCGGCGGCGAAGAAGAAGGGCCCGGGGAAGAAAAAGTGAGGTGCTTCACGCACGACTTTTTATCGAGCAGAGATCAATTTGAATCTTCGTCAGACTACTGTACGACGTGCGCGCGCCGCGCGATAAAGCATCACTTCCCCCCCAAGCTCGACCTTCGTCGCTTCGGCGCGCTGTCCAGCGCCTGCTGCAGACGCCTCGCCTGCGCCGCGGCGCGGATCCCGTGCGACCCTCGAAGTCCCCCGGGCGGCGGCGGCGGCGACTCCGCGCGTCGCGCCGGCGCGCGCGAGCTCTTTCGCGTCGGCGGCGGCGGCTCCGGCTTTTTCCTCTTCTCGCCGCCGGACGCCTTTTCCTTCGCGGCGATCCCCTGCCCGCGCGGCGCTCTGAGGAACCCCACCTTCGCGGTGTCCCCCGCGAGCTTTCCGATCAAGACGTGCTGCGTGTCCCCGTCCTCGTACTCCACGAGGTGCTTCGCGCCGCCTTGTTCGAACTTTGTCACCGTGCCGTGAAACCATTCGTTCTCGAGCGGCCACCACACGCGCACTTTCCACCCGACGACCGCCGCGCCGCCGCCTTGTCTCAGAAGCTCCTTGACCCTCTCGACGTTCTTCTCCGCGGTCGCCGCGTCAGCAGCCTCCTGTTTCTTCCTCGCGAGCCTCTCGCGTCGGAGCTTCTCCGTCCTCCGATGTTTCGCCGTCTCCCCCGAGACGAAAGCTGCGCCCTTCGCCGTCTGATGCACGACCCGCTTCCCGTGCCCGCGAGAGATGCTGCGCTTCTCTCGAAGGTACGCCTCGATCCCGCTCGCGGCGACGGAGCCCATCTTCTTCGCGCGCGGCTTCGTCCCGTCCTCCCCCGGCGCTCGTTCGCCGCCCGCGCCCGCGAGCGCGCACACGGACGAATCCGCCGACGCCGCCTGCTGCCGCGCGATGATCGCCGCGGCGCCGCCTTTCACGTCCTGCGCCCACTTCGGAAGCTTCGGGTTAAACCACATGTTCCCGCAGTTCATGATCACCTCCAGCGAGTGCGGTATGACGTTCGCCTTGCGCGTCTCTCGGATGACGTCCTTCATCCGTCGCTTCACGTCGGTGCCGATGAAGTGATGCTCCGACGCGTACATGTGCGACACCGCGGTGTCCTCCAGGTCTCTCGCGAACTGCCTCCACGCGGGCAGCGTCGTTCGGAAGTTCTCCCCGACGTTCAGGCACCATATCCGCTTCAGCTTGAGCACCTCCGTGAGCTTCGCGAGCTGCTCGTCGAAGAAGCCGTCTTCGAAGTTTTGAATGTACAGCGCCTCCACCTTCGTGTTCTCCTTGAGCGCGTCGAGGACGGCGTTCAGCACGCGCGGACCCGCGTTGGACTTGATGAAGCGCTTCAGGCGGAGGACCTTCCCGCCCGCGTCGCAGTCTAGCGTGTTCGTGCGGAGCCTGCGGGGAGGGGGTGGGGCAAGGCGGCGGGGGGATGGGAGGGGCGGGGGCGCGCGTCAGATGTCGATTCGAGGCGCGCGCTCGTCGCCGCGCCGGGTTGAACGAGTGGGAGGATCTGGGGCGTTTCTTCGCGCGCGCGGGCGAGAAAAGGGCGACGCACCGCTCGATGAACTCCTTGAACGGCTTCGAATCCAGCACGCGCGCCTCCGGCTCGCGCTTCGTGCGCGACGTCGCGATCGACTCCTCCGCCTTGGGCATGACGGCGTGGGCGCGCGACGTGATCTGCGTCTCACCGTCCAACGTTCGGACCGTCAGCTGCCTGGCGGGGCGGTTTGAAAAAAAATCCAACTGTCACGATCTGATCCCGAGCCCGACTGCCCGCTGCCTGCCGTCGCGTCACATCGGACGCGCGCCGCGTCCCTCCGTCGCCGGTCGACGACGCCCGCGCTGCCCGCCCGTCCTCGAATCTCGCTCGAGATGCCGACGCCGCCGGCGAAGATCTCGCCGTCGCTCCTCGCGTGCGATTTCGCCAACATCGAGACCGAGGCGAAGAGAGTCCTCGACGCGGGCGCGGACTGGCTCCACCTGGACGTCATGGACGGCCACTTCGTCCCCAACCTCTCCTTCGGCGCGCCGGTGATCAAGTGCCTCCACAAAAAGCTCCCCGACGCGTTCCTGGACGTCCACCTCATGGTGACGAACCCGAAGGACTACGTCGCGCCGATGAAGGACGCGGGCGCGACGATGTTCACGTTCCACGTCGAGGCGACGACGGACGGCGGCGCGGACGTCGCGGCGGCCGCGCGCGGGGCGGGCATGAAAGTCGGCATCGCGCTGAAGCCGCAGACGCCCCCGGAGGCGGTCTACGCGCTGTGCGACAAGGGCGGCGTCGACATGATCTTAGTCATGACAGTAGAGCCCGGGTTCGGAGGGCAAAAGTTTCAACCCGCGATGATGGCCAAAGCGAGGACGCTTCGGAACAAGTACGCGGAGCTCGACATCCAGGTCGACGGCGGCTTGGACGGCGTCACGGTGAGGGAAGCCGCGGTCGCGGGCGCGAACGTCATCGTCGCGGGCAGCAGCGTGTACGGCGCGAAGGACATTCCGGACGCGATCGCGACGCTTCGAGCGGCGGTGGAAAAAGCCAGGGCGGCGGAGGCGGAGTCGAACGCGCGCGTCGCGGCGCAGGAGGCGCAGGACGCGGGGACGCCGCCGCCGGCGAAGTTTTGCACGCAGTGCGGGACGCCGAGGGTGGAGGGCGGGAAGTTTTGCACCGGATGCGGGGGCAAGTTCTGAGTCTACCCTAGCTAGCTAGACTACGTATCTTAAAGTCGCGAAGCGTACCCTAGCCGTCGTCGCTGACGACCAACCTTAGTCCCGCGCGCCGCCCTCCAACGCCCGCTCCGCGATGTACGCCGCCCCCCACTCCGGCCCGAGCGTCGGGTGCGTGATCGCGCTGAACTCGATCCCGTCGATCCGGAACGTCCCGTCGTCGCCCTGGTCCGCGCGCCTTCGGACGCCCTCCTTGAGCCTCTCCGCGAGTCCGCCGCCCTCGCGGAGCATCCCGCCGGCGAGCACCAACGGCAGCAGCTTCGGGTCGCGCCCCACTCCGTCGTCCGCGTCCACGTCCGCGTCGTCCCCGTCCCGGTCAAACGCGCCCGCGACGACCGACCGACCCAACGGCGACCCGACGTCGAACTTCTCCGAGAAGGTTCGCGCCCTCGTCCCCGCCGTAAACGCCCGCTCGCGCCGCCGAGCCCACATCCTGCTCGCCCTCGACGAGAACGGCGCGCTCCGTATGGCGCTCTCCCCGCGCGCCAAGCTCGCGCACACCGCGCGCAGCGACTCGAGCAGTCCCTCCGCGGCGTCGTCGAGCAACCCGGACGCGTACGCGTCCCCGCGCGCCGCCGCGCGCGTCGCCACGGGCGCCAACGCCGCGACGTCGGCCCACGCCGGCGCGGGCCCTCCCTCGTACGCCCAACCGATCAGGTCCTCCGCGGAGTCCAGCCCCAAGGTCTCCATGATCTCCGGCACGAGCGCCGCGCCCGGGGAGGAGGGGGCGACGCGTCCGTCCGCGACGCGCGCGGCGAGCGCGAGGAGCGCGGATCCGATCGAGTGCGCGCATCCCGCGTCGCCGAACGCGGGTCCCCATCCCGCGGCTCTCGCGCGCGCGCCGTCTTCCGTGTACCCGCACGCGATCGTCCCGGTGCCGGAGATGAGGACGACGCCGTGGAGGCGACCGCGCGTGCCGCTCGCGAGCGCGGCCGCGGCGTCGTTCGCGACGACGACGCGCCGCGGCGGGACGGCGACGCACAGGCTCGCGAGCGCGTCGCGCCATCGCGCCTTGCCGTCGTCGTCGTCCACGCCCGCGCACGACAGCGCAATCGCCTCGAGCTTCACGCCCTCGACGTCGCCCGCGAGGACGTCCTCGGGGCGGTACCGGAAGTTTTCCCTCGTCGCGTCTCTCAGCGCGGCGACGATCGCGCCCGCGACGTTCTCGAGCGCGGCGTCGAATCCGACGCTGTTGGCGTTCGCGGAGCCGCCCTCGCCGACGCCGACGATGACCGCGGAGGAGGAGACCGGGACGGAGGACACGACGCATTTCGTGGACGTGCCGCCGCCGTCGATGCCGACGACGAGGCGCAGAGGTTTCGAGGGCGACGCGACCATCGAGGGCGGCGCGCGGACGGACGCCGCGCCGATCGAAGTAATAAATCAGATGACGACGAGCCGGATCTGATCGCGCGTCTCTGCGAACCGTTGGACGATATCCGTCTGCTGAATCTCGTTCGGCCGCGCGCACCCGCGGTCACATCCGCTCGCGCGCGCGGCCCTCGCACCGCGCGATCGCATCGCCGCCGCGCGCGCGAACGGCCGTCTGCGCGTCGCCAGCGTGAGAGCGCGCGCTCGAAGACGAGGGGACGCGTCCCGAGGAGGACGCTTTGTTACTTCTTCTGTTCTCTCTCCTCTTTCGTCCGAGGGTGCGACGACGCGCGGCGAAGCATGGGTCTCCTCGACGTCGTCCCGTTCAAGCACGCGCTGAAGACGTGCGCGTGGTGCGCCGCCGGGTGCGTCGCCGTGTTCAAGGTCCAAGGCATCAGCGTCGGCGTCGCGAGGAAGCTCCGAGGGTCGCTCGGGGCGGCGCGGCGCCGCATCGCGAACCGGAAGCGACGACGCGCGGAGCTCGCAGCGCTCAAGAAGAAGCTCACAACGGACGGCGCCAAGTCGATGAACGAGCGCGTGGGGTCGCCGTCGAAGCGCGCGCAGGCGGTGGACGGCGGCGACGACGGCGAAGACGCGCCGGACCCGAACGATACGATCGCCGCGGAGGCGCTGGACGAGGTCGCCGCCGCGCTCGCCGCGGAGGGGGATCCCAGGGCGAGCGCCGAGCTCGCCGCCATCGCCGCGCGCGTCAAGTCGCCGTCGACGTCCGCGGCTCCCCCCGCGTCCTCCTCGCGCGGCGGCGGCGACGGTCGCTCGCGTCGCTCGCCGACGCGAGAGAGACGCGTCACCGGGCCGTACCAGAACCCGTTCGAGGACGCGCCGTACGAGAACCCGTTCGCGCCGCGAAGGGGGACGTCCCCGGACCCGGAGGAATACGCGGAGGACGCGTTTAAGATGGCCGCCGCGGCGATCGAGGCGGAGGAGCGGGGGCACTCGTACGACGCGTTCGAGGACTACCTCCCGCCGCCGATTCAGATGACGCACAACCGGGAATATGAACCGCCGCGCTCGCCGTCGCCGACCAGCGCGTGGGTGGCGCGCGGCCGCTCGCCGTCGCCGTCGCGATCGCCGTCGCCGTCGCCGTCGCCGTCGCCGTCGCCGCGAGGAGCGCACGCGAGGACGGCGACGCTCGACGACTGGATCGAAAAATCCCCGACGCGAAAGCCGCGGTTCGACCCGTACTCGGACTCCTCCGAGTCCGACGACGCGTCGTACGTCCACGTGCCGTCGCCGGAGAAGACCGCGCGGAGCCCGGAGCCGACGAAGGACTTCAAGACGACGTTCCTCAAAGAGGCGGCGCTGTCGCCGTCGCCGCTGCGATCATCGCGGAGATCGCCGGCGGCGCTCGCGAAGGCGATCCTCACCGCGCTCGACGCCGACGACGCCGCCGACGACGCCGACGACGTCGAGGAGCCGGTCCTCCGCGACGACGCCGCCGCCTCGCACGAGGACTGGATCCCCGCGAAGTGCCCAAGCACGCTGCGGTTGGAGGTGACGTCCGGCGCGGCGACGGGCAGCGCCGCGAGCGCGCCGCCCGGGACGGCTTCGCTGACGTTGGGCCGGGCGGAGGGCAGAGACGTGTCGTTCTTTTCGTCCGAGGTGTCGTCGCGGCACGCGGAGGTGCGCTGGACGCCGTGGAGGGACGGCGACGGCGACGGCGGTCGCGCGGACGAGAAGCGAGGGGGGAAGCATCAGCGGGGGAAGAAGCGCCGCGACGCGGAGGACGACGCGTCGGAGCTCGCGGGCGGGGACTGGCGTCTCGCCGACTCGGGAAGCACGAACGGGACGTTTCTCAACGGCGTTCGCGTCGGCGGTGCGGGCTCCGGCGCGTCCAAACGCGGTCGCACGCCGACGTGGCACGTCCTCCGCGACGGCGACGAGATCAGGCTCGGCGAACGCGCGGGCGAGTCGCCGACGGTGCGCGTCCGCATCGCGCCGACGCCGAGCGCGGTGGCGGCGGCGGCGGCGACGGTCGCGCCGCTGACGCTGCGCGCGTCGGTGCGAACGAGCCGAGGGTCCAACAAAAATTCGCATCACAACGAGGACCGCGCGCTCTGCGAGTGCCCGCTGCGCGGGCACTCCGACGTCGGCGTGTTCGCGGTGTTCGACGGACACGCGGGCGACGTCGCGGCGACGCGAGCGAAGAAGATCATCCCCGAGGCGATCGCGAGGGCGCTCGGGGGCGCGACGCCGACGGGCGCGGCGGGCGCGAAGGACGCGCTGATTCGCGCGTTCATGGAGACGGACGCGGTACTGAAGTGCGAGTACGAGGGGTGCACGGCGACGGTGATGCTGACGTGGCGGTGCCCGGCGAACGGGAAGCTGTTCGCGCAGACGGCGAACGTCGGCGATTCGTCCTGCGCGCTCGGGAAGATCGGCGCCGCGGCGAACGCCCGGTGGGTCACGACGGAGCACAAGGTGAGCTCCGAGGCGGAGCGCGCGCGGCTGGAGAAGGACCACGGCGTGAAGCTCCCCGCGAACGCGCGGCGGCTGCACGGCCTCGCGCTCGCGCGCGCGCTCGGCGACGCGTTTCTCAAGAGGGAAGGCGTCGGGCTGATCGCGACGCCGTCGGTCTCCGCGCCGATCGAGATTGGGGGCGGCGACGGCGGCGACGTCGCGATCTTGGCGTCGGACGGGCTGTGGGACGTGTGCGACGCCGTGGGGGCGATGGACGTCGCGTCGAGGGCGTCCGCGGGGAGCGGCGGCGTCGCGTTGACGTCGAAGGCGGCGGACGAGCTCGTGAAGCACGCGCGGGGGAAGCGGAGCAGGGACGATTGCGTCGTCCTCGCGGTGAGGCTCGCGTGGTAGTGTAGGCGGCGGACGAAGAGAGAGACGCGCCGACGCTAGGAGCTAGCTTCGGGGTGAAACTGAGGGACATGGGTCGGTGGAGCGAGTGGCGTGGTGGTCGTCCAAGAGCGGACGGCCGGGCGAGGCGTCGCTTCCGTCGCGAAATACGATTGCTCGCGAGCCATCCATCATCGCATCGCAGCTCTTCTCGCTGCGATCGGTCAACAACCTCTCAGTGTCCGGAATTACCTGCACCCTCGATCAGAAGACGAAGCGCGCGCGCGTCGCAGCGTCGAATCGTCTCCCTCCCGTCCGCCGGCATGGGGTTCACATCCGCGGCGTCCCGGTTCAAGTCCGCGGGCTCCGCGGCGATGATGTTCCGCGAGGACACCGTCGTCCGCGTCGTGACGCTCGACGCGGTGGAGGGCAAGAGCGTGCTTTTGCGCGAGGTCGTGGAAGACCCCGCGTGGGCGGCCGCGGTGGACGCGTCGCCGCTCAAGGAGCACTTCCTCACCGCGATGTGCGTATCTCGCGCCCGCGGCTGTCGGCGCGTCGCGACGCGTCGCGACGCGTCGCATCGCCCGCCCGACGCGTTCTCTCGCGATCGCGTCGCAATGCGATTTTCTCGTGCCCTTTCGGCGGTGCCCTTTCGGCGGGTTCGACGAATTCTCCGTCCGCCGACCCCATCCCATCCCCCCCCCCCAACGCGCGCGTCACGCCAGGCCTTTCGACGCGTTCGCGGCCGAGCCCGCGGCGCGAAGCCTCTCCTACCGCGTCGCGGACGGGATCGAGCTCCCGCGCGCGGCGGTGAAAGACCCCGCGGGCGTCCTGACCGAAACCCGAGGAGGCTTCTTCCCTCGATCGTGCCTCGACGTCCCCGTCGCGACGCGCGAGCCGCTCGCGGACGGGTGGTGGTCGCACATGTACGTGGACTTCCTCGACCACCTCTGCGACGCGACCGCGGCGTCGAGGACGCTCGTGCGAACCGCGTCGCACTGCGACGTGACGGTCCTGCCCGCGTATTTCCTCTCAGGTGCGTTCCATGCAAACATTTTTCACCCATCGCCCGGTTTCAACACTTGATCGCGTCTTCTTTCAACTGACCGATGAACTAACTATTCGCGTACGGTACGACCCTCACTCAGGCGACTTGGACGCCGTCGACGACGCCCTCGGCCGCGCGTGGTGCGGCGGCGAGATCTCGCTCGCCGGGCTCGACCGCCACGCGCTCAATGCGCTCATGAACGCCTGCGTCGCGAAGACGCGCGAGCAGACGCGCGGGGAGAAGTGGAACCACGGCGACTGCGACCTCGTCGGCGTCAAGACGCTCGCGAGGCTCGTCGGACGGCGATACGCCGCGGCGAAGCGGTTCGGACGCGGCGGCGAGCGCGGCACGGGCGCGTCGGACGCGCGCGCCGCGATCGAGTGGCACGCGCGCGTGCATAAGCTCGAAGGGATCGCGACGGACGTCACCGCCGGGGACGACGAAGACGCGTGCGCCGCGAAGCTCGAGACGTTCGTCGACGTCTTAGGTGCGTTCTATAGACTGGTTCCCATACGACCGCGTCGGCGTGGTGAACGCCGATCCTTCAGGACTTTGCCCGGCGCATCTCTCCGCCCACTCCACGCTTTCAATACCCGCCCTCGACGCCTTTCAACTCCAACTGACGCCTTTCAACTCCACCCCGATGTCGCTTTGTATGGAACGACACTCAGCCGGGGAGCAGTTGCCCGTCCGAGACGCGGAGGAGAACTTGGAGACGTTGCGATCGCAGCCGGCGCTCGCGTGGTGCGTCCTGACGTCGTACGCGCGGAGCAAGTGCTTCGAGAAGACGCAGCTGTACGTCGCGGGGATCGGACCGTTCGCGTACGCGTGCGGGATAGCCCTGAGCGACCCGCTCGGGACGCACAAGGTGACGTCGAAGTTTCATCCTGGTCTCGGGCAGAAGCTGCGCTTCGTCGTCTCGGACGTCGACCTCCGAGCGCTGAACGACAACCACAGCCTTCTTCGATGGGCGTGGGCGGCGATGTCGTACGTCACGTGCGAGAAGGAGTTTCAGTACACCATCCCAGCCGTCGTGGAAGGGCGCGTCGTCGGGGAACGCAACGTCGTCGAGTGGAGCCTGCTGCCGCCGGGGATGTCCACGCTCGGGTTCGGCCCCGTGGCGACGTCGTACGTGCGAAACGCGCGGCTCAAGTTTGGTGCGTACGTCGGGATCGACTTCTCGCGGAGCGGGCCGAGGGTGTCGCGGAGCGTTCGCAGGGATTCGGTGTCGTCTCGGCGGGATTCAGTGTCGTCCGTGTCGTCCGCGACGGGCGGCGAGTCCGTGATTTTCTCGAACGGGATCCTGCGAGGGTTGGAGGAGGAGGAGGAGGAGGACGCCGACGCCTCCCCCGACGACGCCGGCGACGAGGCGTACCTCAGACGACGCGACGAGTCCGACGCGGACGTCCCGACGATGGCGTTCTACTCGGACGTGAGCACGTTCGGGAAAGCGTACGCCGGGTTCCAGCCCGGAAGCGCGCACAACATCTCCGCCGCGGAGTCGGAGAAGGACAGCAAGGCGGCGGCGGAGTTTGAGCGCACGATCGCGAACCTCTGGAAGGCGTGGCTGAAGTGCGTTCTATTACCACACTGGTCCCCATACGACCCCGCACGCGTTGTGCTCGCCGTTCCTTGAGGACTTTTCCCGGCGGGCGCGTCTCTCCGCCCATCACCCCTCGCGTTCAATCCCGACACACCTCGACGCCTTTCAACTCCGTCTGACGCCTTTCAACTCCACCCCGACGTCGCTTCGTATGATGGAACGACCCAAAGGGACTACGACACGGACGGGAGCAAGACCATCTCCCTGGACGAGCTCCGCGCGTTCGCGTCGCTGCCGAAGTGCCCGTCGAGCGACGGGTACATGGGCGACCTGTGGACGTGGGCGTCCGAAGCGGAGAAGGACGGCACCTTGGAGGAGGCGTTTAAAACCGTGGACGAGGACGGCAGCGGCGAGCTCGAGTACCCGGAGTTTTACGCCATGCTCGCGGAGGAGGATTGATGACGTGATTTCGCGCGCGACGCGACGACTCCTCGCGCTGCCACTGCCATTGCTGCTACTACTATATAACTACTAATATACATCTAGAGCTACCTGCACTGCAGTACGTTTACGCGCGAATCACCACACTACGCCATCTCGTCGTTGCGATGCGGGAACCCGTGCCGAGCGCTCGGTCTTCCGGAGACGACTTTCCGCCAGATCCCGTCGTCTCCCCTCCGCGCCGCGGAGTAATACCCAGACACGTTGTAACACTGCCGCGCGGACGCGTCGCCCGGACCCTTGCGCGCGGTGCACTCCGCGCTCGGGTCGTGCACGCTGCGCGGCACGACGCGGAAATCGAGCGACACGCGCGTTTCGTCCGTCGTGTTGGCCACGGTGAAGTGCGCGACGGAGTGCCCGTGAAACATCGCGACGGCGCCGTGATCCAGCTCGAGCGGGCGAAAGTCCTCCGCCCCCGGCGCGGACTCCAGCTGCAGCGTGTTCGCGCCAAACGCGCTCGTGAGCGGCAGCCAGCAGTTCACGCTCCCTTCCGGGTGGTTGTACATCGAGTCCACGTGCGCGCGAATGGTGTGAAACTCGCACGGCTGCTGGACGCGCACGCACGGAAACGCGGCGTAGAGGATAGCGTCTTCGAGCTCGGGCCCCATCGCGGCCGCGACCGCGGGGGCGACGACGGCGAGGACGAGCGCGTCGTACGCGTCGACGAACGCGTCGCGCGCGGGCGAGTCCCGCGCGAGCGGCGCGAGGAGCGACGCCTTGTCGTCGAGGTGCGACGAGCGACGGCTGAAGTCGCGGAACGACAAATGCGCGCGCGAGAGGTCCGCGTCGTCCGCGACGCCGATGAGAGCGCGAAACGCGCGCAGCACCGGATGCGCCGCCGGGTCGAACGTCAGGACGTTCAGTCGCCTGAGCGACGCGAAGCCGTCGCCGTCGAGCGCGGCGCGGACGGACGGGACGTACGCGTGACGCGCGGCCGCGTCCGCGCGCGCCGCGAGGAGCGTCTCGTAGTGGCGAACGAACGACGCGCGCTTGCGATGGCCCACTGGATAGGGAAGGAAATGCCAATCGCGCGAGGACGACGACGGCGGCGACGGCGGCGAGGTCGCCGCCTCCGCCGCCGCCTTCTCCGCCGCCACCGCCGCCGCGACCGGGTCCCCGCCGGCGGCGTCCGCGCCGCGTCCCATCTTCCCCCCGCGAGCGCTCGCGAGCCCCGCGGCGCCGCCGACTGTGCCGCGAGGAGACGCCGCCGACCGCCGTCACGCGAGTTTCGGAAAAGAGGTGAAAAGCGTCCACGAAACCAACGAAATCCAACGTGGCAAAAATATCTCGATCGCGATATCCGGATTCGCCGACGTCATTCCCTCGCGCGCGCCTCTCACACGCGCCGTTCCCACGCACGCCAAGGTTTATTGCATAAATATCGCCGTGATACAAACGACGTCGAGCGTCGCTCAAGGAAAGCTCTCTATGATGTGTTGGGCTACGTGTACCCTTCCCACCCCGTCGTTCTCTGAATACACGCGCCACTCGTACGCCACGCCCGCCGTCAGCGTCACGACAGCGGGCCCGACGGCCACGTTCGAGTGCGTTCCAGTACTACTCTCCAGGTAGTCTAAATGACCGATGGAATATACCAACCTGGCACCCGTGCTCACGGCGTGCAACGCGAGTTCGAACGCACGCTCGCCGCTGGTCGTGGCAATGTACCTGAGGGTCGTTCCATACAACGCGACGTCGGGGTGGAGTTCAAAGGCGTCAGTTGGAGTTGAAGGCGTCGATGGCGGGGATTGAAAGCGAGGGGTGGGCGGAGAGATGCGCCGGGCAAAGTCCTTGAGGATCGGCGTTCACCACGCCGACGGGGTCGTATGGGGACCAGTGTATGGGACACGTACGCGCTCGCCGTCGCGGAGACGCGGTACAACCCCGTGACCGGCGGCGTGTAGCTGTTCCCGCTCTTGGTGAAGCCGCCGTTTACCACGCTCGTCGTCGGCCACGACAACGAAGCACCAGGGTAGCCCGTGAGCACCTGAATCGTGTTGTCCCGGGTGCCGTACGCGTACGCCTTGCCCGACTGCGTGATCGCCCCGGTCACCGTGACCGCGCCCGCGATGGTCGCGTCGCCGACTACGTGTAGCGTAGAGGAAGGCGCAAACGTCCCGATGCCGACGTTGCCGCCGGAGGGGTTGATGGCTAAATTTTCCCACGAGGTCCACGCCGCCCCGGTCCCTCGACCGTGTCCTCCGATGGTTGGCACGTCAAAAGAAGTTCCCAACACGACGTGCTTTCCGTTATCTCCTTTTGGACCGAAAGCACCAGCCACCCAAGGACCAGCTGGAGTTCCAGTTCCGTAACGCGCATCTACGACGGCTCGTGGACTATCCGTCCCGAAACCGACCATGCTTGTGGAAGCGCTGTCTACGGACATAACTGACGTTCCGTCTGACTTCTTCACATCGAGATCGCCCGTGATGGTCGTCGCCCCCGTGATACCAGTCGCGCCCGTGATGGTCGTCGCGCCCGCAGAAAGCGCTCCGGTCACTGTAGCGCTCGCGAGCGTCGCCAGCCCGCTCGATGTCAGCGTCCCAGTCACTCCCACGCCCGCCGAGGCGAGAGTTATTAGACTCGTGTCGCCGGCGATGCCGATAGTTTTGCTCGTGAACCGCACGTCCTCCACGTCCACGTATAACGACGTGCTTTTCACAACCACAAAACCTTTGCTGCTCGAGATCGTCAACCCGCTCGTCGCGCCCGTCGCGGCAGTGTGCTTGATCTCGGAAGCGGTCGTCGACATTGCGATGTCGCCCGAGGTTGACAAGTCACCGTTAAGCGTCGCGCTCGCCAACGTTGCTGCGCCAGATGACAGCGCCCCGGTTACGCTCGCGCTTGCGAGCGTCGATGCACCCGCGTTCAGCGTCCCGCTGATAACCGTGTTGCCCGTGCTCGACGCTATGGTCACCTTGTCCGTTCCGTCGGAAGCTTTCACCTTGACGTCGCCCGTGACGGTCGTCGCCCCCGTGATGCCAGTCGCGCCCGTGATGGTCGTCGCGCCCGCAGAAAGCGCCCCGGACACAGAAGCACTCGCCAACGTTGCCGCGCCGGATGACAGCGCCCCGGTTACGCTCGCGCTCGCGAGCGTCGACGCACCAGCGCCGAGGGTTCCAGCTACAACCGTGTTTCCAGTCGCGTCGTCCACGGTGAACATCGAAGTTCCGTCGGACTTCTTAACAGCGAGATCGCCCTTGATGGACGTCGCTCCCGTGACAGTCACCGCGCCCGTGATACCTGTCGCGCCCGTGATGGTCGTCGCGCCCGCAGAAAGCGCCCCGGTTACGCTCGCGCTCGCGAGCGTCGATGCACCCGCGTTCAGCGTCCCGCTTATAACCGTGTTGCCCGTGCTCGACGCTATGGTCACCTTGTCCGTTCCGTCGGAAGCTTTCACCTTGACGTCGCCCGTGACGGTCGTCGCCCCCGTGATGCCAGTCGCGCCCGTGATGGTCGTCGCGCCCGCAGAAAGCGCCCCGGACACAGAAGCACTCGCCAACGTTGCCGCGCCGGATGACAGCGCCCCGGTTACGCTCGCGCTCGCGAGCGTCGATGCACCCGCGTTCAGCGTCCCGCTGATAACCGTGTTGCCCGTGCTCGACGCTATGGTCACCTTGTCCGTTCCGTCGGAAGCTTTCACCTTGACGTCGCCCGTGACGGTCGTCGCCCCCGTGATGCCAGTCGCGCCCGTGATGGTCGTCGCGCCCGCAGAAAGCGCCCCGGACACAGAAGCACTCGCCAACGTTGCCGCGCCGGATGACAGCGCCCCGGTTACGCTCGCGCTCGCGAGCGTCGATGCACCAGCGCCGAGGGTTCCAGCTACAACCGTGTTCCCGGTCGCGTCGTCCACGGTGAACATCGAAGTTCCGTCGGACTTCTTAACAGCGAGATCGCCCTTGATGGACGTCGCTCCCGTGACAGTCACCGCGCCCGTGATACCTGTCGCGCCCGTGATGGTCGTCGCGCCCGCAGAAAGCGCCCCGGTTACGCTCGCGCTCGCGAGCGTCGATGCACCCGCGTTCAGCGTCCCGCTGATAACCGTGTTCCCGGTCGCGCCGGCGACCGTCAGCACCGTCGCCGATCCGTCGGACTTCTTCACCGTGACGTCGCCCTTCATGACTGTCGCGCCCGTGATGGTCGTCGCGCCCGCAGAAAGCGCTCCAGACACGGTCGCGCTCGCCAACGTTGCCGCGCCGGATGACAGCGCCCCGGTTACGCTCGCGCTCGCGAGCGTCGACGCACCAGCGCCGAGGGTTCCAGCTACAACCGTGTTTCCAGTCGCGTCGTCCACGGTGAACATCGAAGTTCCGTCGGACTTCTTAACAGCGAGATCGCCCTTGATGGACGTCGCTCCCGTGACAGTCACCGCGCCCGTGATACCTGTCGCGCCCGTGATGGTCGTCGCGCCCGCAGAAAGCGCCCCGGTTACGCTCGCGCTCGCGAGCGTCGATGCACCCGCGTTCAGCGTCCCGCTGATAACCGTGTTGCCCGTGCTCGACGCTATGGTCACCTTGTCCGTTCCGTCGGAAGCTTTCACCTTGACGTCGCCCGTGACGGTCGTCGCCCCCGTGATGCCAGTCGCGCCCGTGATGGTCGTCGCGCCCGCAGAAAGCGCCCCGGACACAGAAGCACTCGCCAACGTTGCCGCGCCGGATGACAGCGCCCCGGTTACGCTCGCGCTCGCGAGCGTCGATGCACCAGCGCCGAGGGTTCCAGCTACAACCGTGTTCCCGGTCGCGTCGTCCACGGTGAACATCGAAGTTCCGTCGGACTTCTTCACAACGAGATCGCCCTTGATGGACGTCGCTCCCGTGACAGTCACCGCGCCCGTGATACCTGTCGCGCCCGTGATGGTCGTCGCGCCCGCAGAAAGCGCCCCGGTTACGCTCGCGCTCGCGAGCGTCGATGCACCCGCGTTCAGCGTCCCGCTGATAACCGTGTTCCCGGTCGCGCCGGCGACCGTCAGCACCGTCGCCGATCCGTCGGACTTCTTCACCGTGACGTCGCCCTTCATGACTGTCGCGCCCGTGATGGTCGTCGCGCCCGCAGAAAGCGCTCCGGTCACTGTAGCGCTCGCGAGTGTCGCCAGCCCGCTCGATGTCAGCGTCCCAGTCACTCCCACGCCCGCCGAGGCGAGAGTTATTAGACTCGTGTCGCCGGCGATGCCGATAGTTTTGCTCGTGAACCGCACGTCCTCCACGTCCACGTATAACGACGTGCTTTTCACAACCACAAACCCGTTGTCGCTCGAGATCGTCAACCCGCTCGTCGCGCCCGTCGCGGCGGTGTGCGTGATCTCGGAAGCGGTCTTCGAAATTGCGATGTCGCCCGAGGTTGACAAGTCACCGTTAAGCGTCGCGCTCGCCAACGTTGCTGCGCCAGATGACAGCGCCCCGGTTACGCTCGCGCTCGCGAGCGTCGATGCACCCGCGTTCAGCGTCCCGCTGATAACCGTGTTGCCCGTGCTCGACGCTATGGTCACCTTGTCCGTTCCGTCGGAAGCTTTCACCTTGACGTCGCCCGTGACGGTCGTCGCCCCCGTGATGCCAGTCGCGCCCGTGATGGTCGTCGCGCCCGCAGAAAGCGCCCCGGTTACGCTCGCGCTCGCGAGCGTCGATGCACCCGCGTTCAGCGTCCCGCTGATAACCGTGTTGCCCGTGCTCGACGCTATGGTCACCTTGTCCGTTCCGTCGGAAGCTTTCACCTTGACGTCGCCCGTGACGGTCGTCGCCCCCGTGATGCCAGTCGCGCCCGTGATGGTCGTCGCGCCCGCAGAAAGCGCCCCGGACACAGAAGCACTCGCCAACGTTGCCGCGCCGGATGACAGCGCCCCGGTTACGCTCGCGCTCGCGAGCGTCGATGCACCCGCGTTCAGCGTCCCGCTGATAACCGTGTTGCCCGTGCTCGACGCTATGGTCACCTTGTCCGTTCCGTCGGAAGCTTTCACCATGACGTCGCCCGTGACGGTCGTCGCCCCCGTGATGCCAGTCGCGCCCGTGATGGTCGTCGCGCCCGCAGAAAGCGCCCCGGTTACGCTCGCGCTCGCGAGCGTCGATGCACCCGCGTTCAGCGTCCCGCTGATAACCGTGTTCCCGGTCGCGCCGGCGACCGTCAGCACCGTCGCCGATCCGTCGGACTTCTTCACCGTGACGTCGCCCTTCATGACTGTCGCGCCCGTGATGGTCGTCGCGCCCGCAGAAAGCGCTCCAGACACGGTCGCGCTCGCCAACGTTGCCGCGCCGGATGACAGCGCCCCGGTTACGCTCGCGCTCGCGAGCGTCGATGCACCAGCGCCGAGGGTTCCAGCTACAACCGTGTTTCCAGACGCGTCGTGCACAGTGAACATCGAAGTTCCGTCGGACTTCTTAACAGCGAGATCGCCCTTGATGGACGTCGCTCCCGTGACAGTCACCGCGCCCGTGATACCTGTCGCGCCCGTGATGGTCGTCGCGCCCGCAGAAAGCGCCCCGGTTACGCTCGCGCTCGCGAGCGTCGATGCACCCGCGTTCAGCGTCCCGCTGATAACCGTGTTCCCGGTCGCGCCGGCGACCGTCAGCACCGTCGCCGATCCGTCGGACTTCTTCACCGTGACGTCGCCCTTCATGACTGTCGCGCCCGTGATGGTCGTCGCGCCCGCAGAAAGCGCTCCAGACACGGTCGCGCTCGCCAACGTTGCCGCGCCGGATGACAGCGCCCCGGTTACGCTCGCGCTCGCGAGCGTCGATGCACCAGCGCCGAGGGTTCCAGCTACAACCGTGTTTCCAGACGCGTCGTGCACAGTGAACATCGAAGTTCCGTCGGACTTCTTAACAGCGAGATCGCCCTTGATGGACGTCGCTCCCGTGACAGTCACCGCGCCCGTGATGCCTGTCGCACCCGTGATGGTCGTCGCGCCCGCAGAAAGCGCCCCGGTTACACTCGCGCTCGCGAGCGTCGATGCACCAGCGCCGAGTGTTCCAGTTACAACCGTGTTCCCGGTCGCGTCGTCCACGGTGAACATCGAAGTTCCGTCGGACTTCTTCACCGTGACGTCGCCCTTCATGACTGTCGCGCCCGTGATGGTCGTCGCGCCCGTGATGCCAGTCGCGCCCGTGATGGTCGTCGCGCCCGCAGAAAGCGCTCCGGTCACTGTAGCGCTCGCGAGTGTCGCCAGCCCGCTCGATGTCAGCGTCCCAGTCACTCCCACGCCCGCCGAGGCGAGAGTTATTAGACTCGTGTCGCCGGCGATGCCGATAGTTTTGCTCGTGAACCGCACGTCCTCCACGTCCACGTATAACGACGTGCTTTTCACAACCACAAACCCGTTGTCGCTCGAGATCGTCAACCCGCTCGTCGCGCCCGTCGCGGCGGTGTGCGTGATCGCGGAAGCGGTCTTCGACATTGCGATGTCGCCCGAGGTTGACAAGTCACCGTTAAGCGTCGCGCTCGCCAACGTTGCTGCGCCTGATGACAGCGCCCCGGTTACGCTCGCGCTCGCGAGCGTCGATGCACCCGCGTTCAGCGTCCCGCTGATAACTGTGTTCCCGGTCGCGTCGTCCACGGTGAACATCGAAGTTCCGTCGGACTTCTTCACAGCTAGATCACCCTTGATGGACGTCGCGCCCGTGATGGTCGTCGCACCCGTGATGCCAGTCGCGCCCGTGATGGTCGTCGCCCCGGTGATGCCAGTCACGCCCGTGATGGTCGTCGCGCCCGCAGAAAGCGCTCCGGACACGATCGCGCTCGCAAGCGTCGCCAGCCCGCTCGATGTCAGCGTCCCGGTCACGCCCACGCCTGTAGCGGATAGCGCGATGATGTTCGTCGCACCGTAGCCGATGTCGGATTTCGACGCGCCGCCCGTGATCCGCACGCTCTCCACCTCCACGAACCCGTTGTCGCTCGAGATCGTCAGCCCGCTCGTCGCGCCCGCCGCGGCGGTGTGCGTGATCGCAGAAGCGGTCTTTGACATTGCGATATCGCCGGAAGTCGTCAAAACACCGTTCAGCGTCGCACTCGCGAGTGTCGCCGCGCCGGACGAAAGCGTCCCGGTTACGCTCGCGCTCGCGAGCGTCGCCAGTCCGGTCGTCTGCAGCGTCCCGGTCACGTGCACGCCCGTCGTCGCAAGTGTAATGACGTCTGTCGTGCCGACGCCCATTTTCAATGCCGTGAAGCGAATGTCTTCCACTTCCACGTACGCGGCAGCTTGCGTGCTCGTGATCTTCAATCCAGTGGTGCCCGTGTGCGTCAGAAGTGTGGTCGCCTTGTTTAAAATCACGTCGTCTTCCAAAGTCGTGACCCCGCTGGCTTTGAGCGTCCCCGCGACTTCTGTATTTCCAGACCCTGCCAAAACCTTAAACTTCGTCGAAGCCACCGTGAAGTCCCCTCCGACGGCGACAGTGCTCGACAACGTCGTTGCCGCCGTCGCAGTTAACGTAGTGTGGAATGTTCCTGCCCCGTACACGTCCAGCGTTTGCGTCATGTTCGCAGTGGTGTTGTACGTCGTGGCGGCATTCACTGTGAGCGTGTCGCTCGGAGAAAAATCACCGATGCGATAATCACCGAGCGCAACAAAAAGTCCCTTCACAGTCACAGCGCCCTCGAACGTTGCGGCGCCGTTTACCGTTAAAGCACCTTGAAGGGTTGTCGCCCCGCCAACAGTAAGGGTTCCCGCTGTGTCGGTGTTACCGCTTCCCGAGAGCACCTTGAATTTCGTCGTCGCAACAGAAAAGTCCCCGCCAACCCCGAGCGCGCCCGTTATCGCCGTCGCCCCGGTCACCCCGAGGGTCCCCGAGATAGTCGTGTCGCCGGCACTCGTCACGATGAAATTTCGAGTCGAGGACGATCCCACGTCGAGCTGACCAGTGACACCTGCGCCCGTGGCAGACAGCGCGATGATGTCCGTCGCTCCGTACCCGATGTCGGATTTCGACGCGCCGCCCGTGATCCGCACGCTCTCCACCTCCACGAACCCGTTGTCGCTCGAGATCGTCAGCCCGCTCGTCGCGCCCGCCGCGGCGGTGTGCGTGATCGCGGCTGCGGTCTTCGACAAGGACGTGTCCCCCGTCTGAAGCAAGTTCCCGTTACTCGCGGTCACTACAAACTTCGACGAGCCAACAGTCAAGTCACCCGTCGACGACACCGTCCCGGTCACGCCCACGCCCGTTCCGGACAGCGCGATTATGTTCGTCGCACCGAAGCCGATGTCGGATTTCGACGCGCCGCCAGTGATCCGCACGCTCTCCACCTCCACGAACCCGTTGTCGCTCGAGATCGTCAGCCCGCTCGTCGCGCCCGCCGCGGCGGTGTGCGTGAGCTCAGCGACCGTGTCGGACATGAACAAGTCCCCGGAAAGCCCCAAAGCAGTAAGGTTGGATTTCACTCCGGTCACCGCTAAGTCATCTGCAAGCGTCGCCTTCCCGGACGATTGCAGCGTCCCGGTCACGCTAACGCCAGTTGACGCGAGCGTTATCAGCGTCGCGGTCCCGGAGATGCCGATATCTTTGCTCGTGAACCGCACGTCCTCCACGTCCACGTACGAAGCCGTGCTGGTCCCACCCGTGATGACCACGAACCCGTTGTCGCTCGAGATCGTCAACCCGCTCGTCGCGCCCGCCGCGGCGGTGTGCGTAAACGTCGCCGCCGTTTTCGATAAGACTATATCCCCGGACAGCGATAGATCTGTCATGGTGAGTGCACCGTTAACTGCGAGGGACCCAGTGATGCTCACGCCCGTTGACGCCAGCGAAAGCAGATTCGTGGTGCCCGCGATGCCGATAGTTTTGCTCGTGAACCGCACGTCTTCCACGTCCACGTACAACGACGTGCTTTTCACAACCACAAACCCGTTGTCGCTCGAGATCGTCAACCCGCTCGTCGCGCCCGTCGCGGCGGTGTGCGTGATCTCGGCGGCGGTCTTCGACATGGAAACGTCACTCGATGACGTCAAGACGCCGGTCACGGTCGCGCTCGCGAGCGTCGCCAGCCCGCTCAAAGTCAGCGTCCCGGTCACGCCCACGCCAGACGCGGACAGCGTGATGATGTTCGTCGCTCCGAACCCGATGCCGGAATTTGACGCGCCGCCTGTGATCCGCACGCTCTCCACCTCCACGAACCCGTTGTCGCTCGAGATCGTCAGCCCGCTCGTCGCGCCCGCCGCGGCGGTGTGCGTGATCGCGGAAGCGGTCTTCGACATCGAGATGTCGCCGAAAGTCGTCACGTCACCGTTCAGCGTCGCGCTCGCGATGGTCGTCGCGCCCGCAGAAAGCGCTCCAGACACGGTCGCGCTCGCCAACGTTGCCGCGCCGGATGACAGCGACCCGGTTACGCTCGCGCTCGCGAGCGTCGATGCACCCGCGTTCAGCGTCCCGCTGATAACCGTGTTCCCGGTCGCGCCGGCGACCGTCAGCACCGTCGCCGATCCGTCGGACTTCTTCACCGTGACGTCGCCCTTCATGACTGTCGCGCCCGTGATGGTCGTCGCGCCCGTGATGCCAGTCGCGCCCGTGATGGTCGTCGCGCCCGCGGAAAGCGCCCCGGACACGGTCGCGCTCGAGAGCGTCGTCGCGCCGGAGGCTAACGTCCCGGTGACGTTCGCGCTCGCGAGGGTCGCGACGCCCGCGGAAGAGAGCGTCCCGCCGACGGTGCAGTCCCCGGTCGCGTCGTCCACGGTGAACAGGACCGTCCCGTCGGACTTCTTCACCTCGAGATCGGTCCCGAGGTCGACCGCCGCGTTCGCGCGCGAGGGCGCGCGCGCGAGCGCGAGGACGCACACGAGCGCGAACACGACGAGCGATCGCGGGACGGCGCGCGCGGATACGGAGCGAGCGCGCGGGGGGGGGTCCGCGCGTCGCGTCATCGCGCGGCGGAAGCGGCGCGCGTCGACGCCGTCAAATGTCAGCACGTGTGTCCGAGCGACTCTGGTCGAATCGAAAAGTCGTCTCGTCGTCCGCGAGATCGCGCCGTCCTCGCGCTCGCGTCGACGCGGTGACGTCTTCGCGCGCGACGTCCTCGGCTTTCTGTCGCGAGGAACGAGTCCCTCGAGGCGAGGTCGCGGCGGAGAGCGCCGACGTGCCGAGTCAGCCGACTGTATGACACACACGCGGGTGGGCGCTTTTGTTCGAAGTGTGTCCGCGTCCGAACGAACGTCCCGCCTGCGCCTGGACTTGATGACAAAAAAAAACCGACCGCGTCCGCGTCCGCCCACGCCGCGCCTCTCTCGTCATCCATCTCCCGCGCCGCCGCCGCCCCCGCCGCCCCCGGCTCGCGCTCGCGCGTCATGAGCGGCCGTGCGTCGATCACGCAGCTCGCGCTCCCGACCGGGATCAAGAAGCTGACGAACATCGCGGTGGTGCGGCTGAAGAAGCACGGCGTCCGGTTCGAGATCGCGTGCTACAAGAACACCGTCGCGGCGTGGAGGGACAAGTTCGAGAAGGACATGGACGACGTCGTGCAGACGACGCAGATCTACAACAACGTCAGCAAGGGCGTCCTCGCGAAGGAGGAGGACTTGATGCGAGCGTTCGGGACCACGGACGAGAAGACGATATGCCGCGTCATCCTCGACGTCGGCGAGATGCAAGTCTCGGACAAGGAGCGGAAGCTCAACTTCGACACGCTCTTCCGCGACGTCGTCAACGTTCTCGTGGACAAGTGCGTGAACCCGGAGACGAACCGGCCGTACCCTCCCGGGATGATCGAGCGCGCGCTGCGCGACGTTCACTTCTCCGTGGACCCGATGAAGAGCGCGAAGCAGCAAGCGCTCGCGGCGCTGCCGAAGCTCGGCGCCGTGTTCCCCATCAAACGCGCGGCGATGCGGTTCAGGCGCGTTCGTATTTACACTGGTCCCCATACGACCCCGTTCGCGTGGTGAACGCCGTTCCTTAAGGACTTTGCCCGGCGCATCTCTCCGCCCACCCCTCGCTTACAATCCCCGCCCTCGACGCCTTTCAACTCCATCTGACGCCTTTCAACTCCACCCCGACGTTCGCTCGTATGGAACGACCCTCAGGATGACCGCGCCCAAGGCGCGCGAGGAGGCCACGGACGCGCTTCTGAAGGCGCACGACGCGGTCGTGGAGCGTCGCCGGGACGTGGCCGGCGTCGGCGCGAGCGGCGAAGACGAAGACGCGGCGTCGGGCGGGAGGAAAACGTCCCGGGCGGACGGCGGCGGCGGCGGCGGCGGCGCGGGATCGTTCGAGGTGACGTTCACGTCCGACCCGAGCGCGTACCGCGTGTTCGATAAGCACGTGCGCGAAGGGTGCGACGGCGGCGGACGCCTGGAGGTCGTCACGATGGCGGTGATGGAGGGCGGCGCGAGCGGCGCCGCGGCGTCGTTCGGGGCGTTGGACGCGTCGGCGTCGGCGTCGGCGTCGCGCGCGGGCGGCGGCGGCGGGGACGCGGACGCGGACGCGGGCGCGGGCGCGTTCGCGACGGGCGCCGTCTCGAGCGCGCTGGAAGCGGCGGCCGGCCACGGCCACGGCCACGGTCAGGGCCAGGGCCAGGGCCCGCCGCGGTCCGCGCGCCCCGTCGCGCCGCGTCGCAGGGACGACGGCGCGGGACTCGGCGCGGACGCCCCCGCGGCGGGGACGACGACGCTGTACGCGAAGGGCGCCATCGCGGGGTTGCCGGACGAGCACGAGAGCAGACGCGCGCGGTTCGCGCCCCTCGACGACATCCAGCCCGGGTGGCGCGTGGAGCTTCGACAGAAGCCCGGGTCGTCGATCGTGGACGCGGTGTTCTTCTCGCCGGAGGATGTCGGGTACAAGAGCTTCGCGGACGCGCGTAGGGAAGCGCTGCGGTCGAGCAAACACGGGAACTAAGTAGAGAGAGACGCGAGATAGCGAAGACGACGACGCGTGAATAGAACAGAACGAACGACGCGTCTCGTCGAACCGTCCGAGTGGGTCGATCGTTCGCCGGATGATGTACGCGCACGACGCGCGGTTCGTCCGCGCCTAGCGTTCCTCCTCCTCTTCGTCCTCGTCGTCGTCCTCGCCGATGTCGATCGCGCGCTGAAGCTGCGCCTCGGAGCTCCGCGCGAGAAACTCCTCCGCCTCCAACTCCACCTCGTACCGCTGCGTGATGCCGTTCCGCATCGCGAGCTTCTCCCCGAGCGCCTCGTCCTCCAGCGGGTCCTCGCTCCCGCGTCCAATCTCTTTCAAAAACTCCCACGTGTCCGGCTCGGGCGGCGGGATCCACGTGTTATCGCACGGCCACCGCGGGTCGTACCTCAAGACGCTGTGCGCCTCCATCCGCGCGGCGACGTCTGGAGGGAAGTTGATGAGCTCCTCGATCTTCTCGTGCGTCCACGCGGACTCGTCGCACGACGGGATGTCCTTCAGGCGTACGTCTCCCTCCATGGACATCCAGCTCGTGCGTCGAATCTCCTCCGCGCGTTTCGCCGTCGCCGCCGCGCGCTCCGCCTTGACGCGCTCGCGGTACTGCAGCGCCATGTCGTCGAACCTGTTGTATAAGCCCGGGGTCTCCTCGTACGGGATGTACTCGGGCTCGGGCTCGTCGTGCAGGTGCACGTCGATGCCTTGCTTTTCGCACTCGCGCGTGACCCACGGCGGCCACGCGCCGGGGTTGTTCTCGAAATCCAACAGCCTCGCGGTGTTGACCTGCCACGGCGCCGGCGCGTGTTCGGGGACCGCGTCCGGGTCGTATCGCATCCACTCGCGGTCTTGTCGGAAGCCTTCCTGGTACTCCTCCTCCTCCCGCGTCCGCGGCGTGTTCGGTTCCATGTCGAATCGCTTCGGGTCGGGGACGTAGTTTGGGTTCTTCGCCACGCGCGTCGACGAAGAATGGGAAGAATTGGAATTGCGGCGGCGGCGAATCTCGCGCGCGCCGACGCGGTCGAAGCGCGGCGCGGCGGGCGCCGCGCTCGAGGCGCGCCCGGACGTCGCCGCGGACGCGGCGAGCGCCGCGCGGACGTTGGAGACGCACGACGCGCTCATCGTGCGCGTGAGGCCAGAGCGCGACGGCGCGATGGAATGGCGCGAGGGTTAGGTTAACGGCGCGCTTTTCAGGCACGCTTTTTCGATCGTCGACCAGTAGACGCGCGAGCGAAAAGGGCAGCATCCAGTCGTCGTCGCCGTCGGCGCGGACGCCACACCGCCGTCGCGCGCGGATGCTTCTTCACGCGCGATGCGCGTCCTCGCTCGTGCGCCACCGCGCGCTCGCGCTCGCGGCCGCCGCGGCGACCGCGCGGGGTGAACACCACCGCGGCGGCGGACGCGACGTCGCGGGCCACAGCGGACGCGTCCTCCTCGGACCGACGCACCCCCACCGCCGCGGCGTCGACCGCCGCGCCTACGCGTCCTCGACGCCCCCCGCGGCGGACGGCGACGCGCGCGCGCCCTCTCCCCAACCCGCGGGACCGAAGCCGCCGCGACCGCCGGGCGAGAAGAAGGTGGGGAAGTCGCGCCTGGACGAGCTGACGATGCGCGCGCACCCGGAGCACTCGCGCACGGTGGTGCAGTCGTGGATCGCGCAGGGCAAGGTGCTCGTGGACGACCGCCCGGTCACCAAAGCCGGGACGAAGCTCAGGGACGACGTCCACATCCGCATCACCGCGACGCCGTCCAAGTACGTCTGTCGAGGCGGTCTGAAGCTCGAGAGAGCGCTGGAGCACTTCGAGATGGACGTGCGCGGCCTCGTGATCCTCGACGCGGGACTCAGGCGCGTTCTGTCTCACACTGGTCCCCATACGACCGCGTTCGCGTGGTGAACGGCGTTCCTTGAGGACTTTCTCTCCCGGCGCATCTCTCCGCTCATCCCTGGCTTTCAATCCCGACACACCTCGACGCCTTTCAACTCCGCTTCTGACGCCTTTGAACTCCACCCCGACGTTCGTTCGCTCGCGTGGAATCGTCCTCAGCACCGGCGGCTTCGCCGACTGCGCGCTGCAAGCCGGCGCCGCGCGCGTCTACGGCGTCGACGTCGGGTACGGGCAAGTCGCGGAGCGGATACGCGTGGACCCGCGCGTCGTCGTCATGGAGCGGACGAACTTGCGACATCTGCAGCCGCTGCCGGAGCTCGTCGACGTCGCGACGCTGGACCTGTCGTTCATAAGCGTGCTCAAGGTGCGTTCTGTAGTTGTAGACTACAAACGTTTTTCACCCACCGCTCGGTTTCAACATTTGATCGCTCCCCCTTTCAACTGACCGGTGAACTTTTTTTTGTATGGAACGGCCCTCACCCAAGGTGCTCCCCGCGGTGGCGGCGGCGACCAAGCCGGGCGGGACGCTCGTGGTGTTGATAAAGCCGCAGTTCGAGGCGACGCGCGCGCAGATCGGGTCGAAGGGGGTCGTGAGGGACGCGAGCGTGCACGAGGAGGTGATCGAGAAGGTGGTGACCGGCGCGAGCGAGTTGGGGTGGAGGTACGAAGGGCACACGACGTCGCCGATCAAGGGCGCGAAGGAGGGAAACACGGAGTTTTTAGCCAAGTTCACGCGGGACGATAAGCCGATGCCGTGGCCGCCGCCGCCGCCGACTAAGGTTAAGGTTAAGGACGACGCGAGGTAGGCGATCGTTCGTTCGCGAGGGTGACGCGAGGGTGGCGAACGTTCGCGGGGGCGACGGACGTAAAATAAACGCTCTTTTCCCTCGCTCGCTCGGGGTTGCGCTAACTAATACGGTTATCACGTCACGCGCCGACTTCGTTCTGCTTCGCCGCCTGCGCCTCCATCGCCTGCATCTTCGCCTGAAACGTCTGCGTCACCTGCATCGCCTGCTTCCGTTTCTCCGTGATGACCTCGATGAGCTTCTCCATGTTCTCGCGCACGAGGTTGATCTTTCGCTTGCAGTAATCCACGCCCTGCTCCGGGCTCTTCTCCACGAAGTACCCCGTCCCGATGTCCATCAGGACCTTATCCACGCTCCCCAACTTCCCCGGGACATACAGAGACCCGGTCAGCGGCACGAGCATCTCCTTGCCCTCGGTCTCCTCCTTCATCGCCTCGAGCGCTCGGCCGCTCGTGTGGTAGCGCCCGATGGCTTTTTGAAGGCTCGCGAGCGACTCCGTGAGCTGGTTGATGTCCTGCTCGAGCTGCTCGCTCAGGCCCTGGGGTGGGAGGAGGGGCGGGGCGCGACGGGGAGGGGGGAGGGGAGCGAAGGCGCGTCAGCGAGGCGGGCGCGGTGGACGGAGGACGACGATCGGAGTCGCGCGCGCGCGCGATCGCGGCGCCGACGTCGGGCCCGCGAGATGTTCGTTTCGTCTCGCGAGATCCGACGCGCGCGCGCGCGAGGTGCGGGCCGCGGCGCGAGCGCGCGCGCGCGAGGGCGGCGCGGGCGCGCACCTGGAGCTGCTGAGGCGAGAGCGTCGCGAGTTGCTGGCCCTGTTGCTGCGACATCGTGCGTCGTCGCGCGCGATCGTACTGCGACCGACGGGGTTGACTTAAAAAACTGACTCCCGTCAGCGCGTTCAATACAAACGTTTTTCACCCACCGCTCGGTTTCAACATTTGATCGTTTCCCCTTTCAATTGACCGATGGAACGACCCTCGCGCCGAAAGTTTTTTTGTACTGAACGCGGAAGACAAAGTGAGGCGACGGGCACTCGCGCCAGCGCCGCGCCGCGCCCGCCGCGAGTCGACGCCCGTCATGCCGCGTCTCGCCTCCCTCATTCTCGTCTTCGTCGTCTTCGCCGCGCCATCGCGTCGCGTCGCGCTCGCGCTCGCGGGGCTCCCTCCGCCGCCGCCCGCGGACGCGGACGCGGACGCGGGGCGCCTCGCGTGGCTCAGCCTCGGCGACGTTCCGACGACGCCGAACGTGTGCGAGGGCTCGTTCGACGCGTCCCTGAACGCGAACGCCGCCGCGTGCGACGTCGTCACCGGGTCGCTGCTCGTCTCCGCGCGCCTCCCGCGCGCGTTCGACGACGCGCGCCTCGCGCGCGTGGACGGCGACGTGCTCGTGCGCGACAACGCGGTCGAGACGTCGCTTCGCGGCGCGTTCCCGGCGCTGACGCGCGTGGGCGGCGACGTCGTCGTCGACAACACGCGGCTCGTGTACCTCGCGATCTTTCCCGCGCTCGAGGAGGTGGGCGGCGGGGTGTTCGTCCTGAACAACGCGCGCGTGTTGCGCTTCGGCGACGGCGAGCGCGCGGCGTTCGCGCGGCTCGTTCGCGTCGGCGGCGACGTCGTGCTCGCGAACAACGCGGCGAGGACGCTGGACGGCGCGTGCTTCCCCGCGGCGCGACGCGTCGGCGGTGGCGTCGTCGTCCGCGACTCCCCCGCGCTGACGTCCATCGGAGACGGCGGCGGCGGCGGCGTCGCTCGCGCGCCCGAGCCGCCGCCGTTCGCGTCGCTGGAGGCGGTCGCGGGCGACGTCGTCGTCGCGCGGTGCGACGCGTTGACGCGCGTCGCGGGCGCGTTTCGACGCCTCGCGCGCATCGACGGCGACGTTCGGCTCGAAACGCTTCCGTCGCTGGTCGAAATCGAGGGCGCGTTCGCGACGTTGGACCGCGTGCTCGGGTCGCTGCGGCTGCTCGACGCGCCGAAAGTAACGCACGCGAAGAAGGCGTTTCTGTCGCTGCGGTACGTCGCCGGGGACGTGAAAATCGAGGGATGCGACGCGTTGGCGGCGCTGGACGGCGGGACGCTCAACGGCCTCGCGCAGATCGGCGGGTCGCTCGTCGTCCGACGCACGTCGCTCGCGTCCGCGTCGTTCCTGTTCAGCCTCTCCAGCGTGATCGGCGACGTTCGGTTCGAGTCCAACGCGAAGTTGAGGAGCTTGGACGGGTTACAGAACGTCCGGTACGTCGGCGGCGGGCTCGCGTTGCAAGGCCTCGTCGGCGCGTTCGGACGCTGCGGGGAGATATCCGAGGCGACGGGCGTCGCGCACGCGTGTTACGCGCGGCAGTACAGGTTCTGTCAGCCGCTCGTGAAGACGCGGGGATGGGGCAGCAGCGCAGCCGGCGCCGTCCCGGGTTGGTACCGGTGCGTCGAGAGCGTGATGACGACGCTGCTGAACACGCCGGAGCTGAAGACGACGGCTTCCGTCGTCCTCGCGTCCGGGCTCCAAGACGCGCTGCAGACGCCGAGGGCGGCGGTGACGATGTTCGCGCCCACGGACGTCGCGTGGTTGAAGACGATAGGGCCGGTGGATCAGATTCTCGCGAGGGGCGGGAGCGACCTCGCGGACGTCGTTCTGGCGCACGTCGTCCGGGGCGTTTTTCCGTCGAGCGGCTTGCGCGCGGACGACGCGATGCACACGCTGTTGTTGGGGCTCGGGATCAAAGTCGGCGTGACCCCCGGGGTGTTGCCCGCGCCGCCCGCGAAGATCACGCGGTGTAAGGCGCAGCCCGGGACGTGGGCGGAGTGCGCCGGGGCGCCGACGCGGAAGGTGTCGATCGCGCCGTTCGCGTGGTTGCCGCTTCGGGGCGTCGCGAACGAATTCGTGCGAGAGAGTCGACGGGATACGAGCAGCACGGAGGAGCTGCTGGCCGCGTTTCAGAGGAGCGCGGTCGACGCGTACGAGTCCGAGGTGGACGCCGCGGAGGCCGCGGCGGCCGCGGCGGCGGCGGCGGCGGAGGAGGAAGAGGGGAACGACGCGGAGGACGCGGGAGCGCCGAGCGAAAACGCCGACGCCCGAACGACGACGCTCACCCTCGAGGACGTCCTGAAGAGTCACGAAGCGTCCACGGCGTGGGCGGCGAAAGCGCGCGAGGCGAACGCGCACGCCGCGCGACTCGTCCTCCCGAACCTCAAGGCTGGGAACGGGTACGTGCACGTGATCGACGCGGCGTTGACCCCCGCGAACGCGATCACGCCGGCGCCGCCGGCGCCGCCGCCGGGCCCGCGAACGCCGTCGAGTTTTTCCCCGTTGCAAACGCTGCTCGTGACGCGACCGCCGCCGCCGCCCGCGGTGTTCCTGAACGCGCCGCCGCCGGTGTTGACGCCCATATCGCAGTATTTCATCGCGCCGCCGCCGCCGCCGGGGCGCGCTCCGCCGACGCCGTCGCCGCCGCCCGGAGGAGGCGGGAACGGCGGGAACGGCGGGTCGTGCGTCGCGCAGGCGCCGAACATATGCGGTCTCTGCGACTACACGTACCAGGACGATCCGAACATCGGGACGTGCTGCTGCGACGCGAGCTGCTTGGAGCCGGAGAACGGGGACTGCTGCGCGGACTACGAGTCCACGTGCGGGGGAGCGCAGAGAGCGAGAGAAGAGACGGAGGCGTCCGTTGGCGTGGAATAGGCGCGTTTGTCAATAATTTATTTCGTTCAGTTCCATCATTCTGACGCTGACGCGTCGTTGGAACGTTCGAAGAAGCCGAGAGCGTCGTCAGTCGAGATGGCGCGGGGGCTCGCGCGCGCGGTGTCGCTGCTCCTCGCGGCGGCGCTGTCGCTCCTCCCGCGCGTCGCGCGCGCGCAGGAGTGCACGCCTCTGAGCAGCATCTCCATCTTCATGGTGTTCCAAGAGGACAACCCCGATCAGGTCTTCTTCAGCGAGAACGGATGCCTCAGCGGCGGAGGCCGCGGGACGGGATGCTGCCCGGGAAGCGAGTGCGCGGTCTGCGAGCCGAACCAGGTCACGTCCGTGTCCGGCAAGACGATGAAGTGGAACAGCTGCATGTGCGAGCCGTGCAAACCCGGCAGCGTGCAGTTCCGCGTCGGGCAGTCCGCGTGCGTGGAGTGCCCCGCGGGATGGTACCAGCCCCTGGAGGGGCAGACGGAGTGCCAGCAGTGTCCGAGCGGGACGTTCAATCCCTCCACGGGGAGGTCGGAGAACTGCGTGCTGTGCCCGCCGGGAACGTTCAGCAAGTCCGACATCCTCGCCTACCGCGAGGCGACGACGAAGCTGTACCGCGGACTGAACACCGAGTTCGACGAGACCGCGGGCGCGGTCGTGTGCACCAACTGCGCGGCGGGGACGTACCAGCCGAGCGCGGGCGGAAGAAACGCGGAGGAGTGCCTCCCGTGCCCGCGAGGGACGTACAGCGACGCCGGCGCCGCGGAGTGCACGCTTTGCCCCGCGGGGTTCTATCAGCCGCACGCCGGGCAAGCCGGCGCGGGGTCGTGCCTGCCGTGCCAGGCTGGGAAGTGCAGCGACACGCCGGGGTCCGTGGACTGTTACCAGTGCTGCCCGGTGGCCAACCTGCGTTGCGACGCGTATCTGAAACGCGCGCAAGGGTTCTACGGCACCGTGGACTGGTACGGCAACGGCGAGGACCCGGGGGAGAACATCGACGACATGTACGACATATTCCTCCTACAGCTGTGTCTGAGAGGGTGCGAGACGTACAGCGTCGCGAACTGGTGCGCGACGGGGACGTGCACGGGTATCTCGGACGCGTTAGCCGCGGCCATCGCCGCGAAAGGAAATTGAATCGACGACGGACGGAGGATTCTTCTAACTACACGTAGTGTCCGTGGTTTCACGAAGGTAGTTTGCTAGCTAGCGTAGCTATGTTGTAGGTAGTCGTAGCGTGATGTGGGCGTGACGTATGGGAAGCAAATTCGCGCCTCACGCCGGATGTGGGCGTGACGTATGGGAAGCAAATTCGCGCCTCACGCCGGCGGCACGAGGACGTCGACTTCCGACAGCTTCATCCCCGACCCCGCACCGCCGCGTCCGCGTCCGACGTCGCCGCCGCCGTCGCCGACCGCAGCCTCGCGTCGTCGTCTCGACAGCTCGTGCACGTTCTCTTCGACGGTGCCAGAGAGCAAGAAACGGTGCACGCACGTCGGTTTCGTCTGACCGATTCTATCGACGCGTTTCATCGCCTGCGCCTCCGCGCCCGGGTCGAGGACGGGCTCGAGCAGGATGACGTGCTGCGCCTCGGTGAGGTTCAACCCGTTCGCGCCGCGTCGCAACGGCATCAGAAGCACGCGAGGCGGCGGCGACGCGGACGACGCGGAAAGCGCCGGGGCGGCTTTGAACCGCTCGATCGCGTCGCGCAGCTTTTTCCCGCCCCCAGCCGGGTGCTCGACGTCCACGCCGTTCGCGCGCAACGCCGCGGCGACGACGCGCAGCGCGTCCTCCCACTCCGGGAACACGAGCGCGCGCGCGTCCGCGTCCGCGCCGGGCCTCGCGTCGTCCAACAGCCAGAGTACTCGCCGCGCGACGGCTTCGACTTTCGTGCCCCATGACCCTCGCACGACTTTCGACGCCTCGCCTTCGAGTTGCTCGCGCTCCGTCCCGAGCTGCGCGTCCATGACGTCGTCGTTCGCGCTCGCGCCCGCGGCGGGCCACCGCTCGTATCGCACCCTCGACGACCCCGCGCTGACGTAGTTGATCTCGTCCGAGGGGACGCGCGCGCGGCACGTCGGGCACTTGAAACACTTCGGGTGTCGCGGCGGCGGCGGCGGCGCGCGGTCGACGAGCGCGTCCGTGCACCGCACGCACTGCCGATGCCCGCACGGAAGGACCGCGACGGACGCCGCCGCCGCGGACGTGTCCACGTCCTCGTGGCACACCGGGCACTCGAACGCCTTTTCCGCGTCGTCTTCGTCCTCGTGCCGCAGGCGTTCCAAGAACCGCGTCTGCGCCGACGCGCGGCGAAGGTCCGCCTCGTACGTCACTCGGTCCATCGCGTACGTCGTATCTTTGCCGTCGAGCTCCCACTCGTGCACGACGGAGTCGCGCAGGTGCTCGGGCACGGGGTCCGGGAGTCCCCCGAGCGCGACCTCGTGCTCCGCGCGGACGCGTATCCGCGTCGTCGCCATCGCGAGTTCGTCTCTCGCGTACAACTCCTCGCGTTGCTTTCGCGTCAGCGTCATCGCGCGCGTGAACTCTTTCCGCATCTCTTCGAGCATCTCCAAGTGCGCCGCCGCGGCTTCCGCGGCCGCGGCGTTCGCGAGCCCGATCTTCGGGATCCTCGACGCGAGGTGCTTGAGGACCGTTTCCGCGGACGACGGCGCGGACTTCCCCGCGCCGACGTCGGTGGCGCCGCCCGACCGGCCGAACCCCGCGCCTCCGAAACGCATGTCTCTGTCCACGCCCTGCGCGGCGAACAGGACGTTCTCGTACGCCTCGAAGACGACCTTGCTGCGGCAGTGCTGGCACCACGACCCGCCGCGCGGCGCGTTCGCATTCGCGTTCGCATTCGCGTTCGCGGTCCTGTTCCGACCGACGAACCGCGAGCCGACAGCCTCGCCGGCGTCGTCGAAGATGTTTTTCGTCTTACACTCCGGGCACTTCCCGGCGGCGGCCACGTCCTCCGGGTTCGCCTCCGACGTCACCCGCGCGAGGTGCTCGACGCGCGCGGTAAACCTCTCGCGTTCCTCCCCCATCCTATCGAGATCGCTCTCGAGCGTGTATCGCAGTCCGCTCACGTCGCGGAACGGCGCCTCGCGGCCTTGCCACATCCCCCGCAGCACGCCGTCGAGCAGCCGGTCGACGGACGTCTTCCCGCCGTCCAGAACGCCGAGCCACCACGTCGCGCCGCTCGGCCCGGTCCCCGTTCCGGTCGCGCCGCACCGCGCGCGCGCCAGAGAGATGGCGGCGCGCGACTTGTCCACCTCGCGCGACGCCGCGGCGAGCCCGCCCGCGCGTTGCGCGATGTATTTTTGCCGCTCCGTCTCCGCGTCCGCGAATAACGCGTCGTCGGCGACGGTTCGCGAGACGCCGACGCCGTCGGCGACGGCCGCGTCTAGGGCCTCTCGCAAGTTATGCAGCGCGTGCAGCCGCTGAAGGGCGTCCAGACGCAGGCACAAACTGCCGTCCTCGGCGGCGGCCGAGCCTGAGCCCGCGAGCCGTAACACCTCCCGGTAGTGCTTCACGGCGACGGCGAATTCTCTCCGACACATCGCGACGCCCGCGGACGCGTTCAGCGTGAACGCGACCAGCCGCTGCGCTTCCTCCGCCTCGACGCGCTGCCGCTCGATCAGCACCTCGTGTATCTGCGGCATCGTCATGATGACGCCGTGGTGGATCCCTCCCGCGCCGACGCTCGCGCCCGCGGCGTTCGGACCGCCCGGGCCGCCGACGACGCCGCGGACGCCGTGTGTCCCCGCCTGAGGGTGGTTACACGCTTGACGCAGACGAAGCAACGGCGCGAGGACGCGTCTGGATTCCTCCGTCGTGAGATACCGGTCGTCGTCGGCGCCGGTCAAGTCGACGACGGGCGGTGGCGCGGCGTCGAGCGGCGCATCGTCGTCGTCGTCGTCGTCCTCCTCCTCCTTCTCCTCCTCCTCCTCGCCGCCGTTCTCGATCAAATCCGCGACGTCCTCGAACGCGCCGTCGCCGCCGCCGAGGATTCTCCCCGCGCCGGCGGCGGCCGCCCACGCGGGCGCCGACGCCCGTCGCGCGCGCTCGGCGTCCTCCTCGTCCATCGCATCCGTCTCCGCGGTCGCGGTCTTCGGCGTCCCTCGTATGCGCCGCAACGCGTCCCTCGCCGCGCGCTCGCACACCTTCTTCTGCTGCCGGTACCAGTGCGCCTCGATCCCGCTCGGTCGCAGCCACGTGATCGTCTGCCCTTGCGGCGGCAGAAGGAGCTCGTCTTTCACGTCCTCGCGACCGTTCCTCCACATCACGCGCCGCAGGAGTCGCGCGAGCTGCGCCTTCGCGACGCGCGATTTCGCGTCGTGCGGGGTCTGCACGCACCTCCGCCACCACGTCGCGTCCGCGAGCGGCGACGGCGCGCCGAGGAAAGAAAACAACCCCCGGAGATCCTCCAACCCGCGCGACGCCGGCGTGCCGCTCACCGCCCACCGGTGCGTCGCGACAAGTTGTCTCGCCATCGCCGCCGCCGCCGCGGTGCTGCTCTCCACCTCTTGCGCCTCGTCCAACACGACCCTCCACCACGTCAAGCGCGTCAGCGGCGTCGGGACGATCGAGTACCGCTTCGCGTACCTCGACGCGCGCGCCGCGCCCGCCGCGTCGCCGCTCGGGTCGTGATGCAGGTCGTTCCGCAGCACGTCGTACGTCGTCAGGACGACGTCCGCGGCGGCGAGGTCCTTCGCGGACGTCACCTGCGCGGGTTCGAACCCCGCCGACGTCGCCGACGACGTTTTCTTCCCTCTCTTCTTCTTCACGGTCCCGGAGCTCGGCCCGCCCGCGTCTCGAGGCTGCCCCTCGTAGACGACGACGCGCACGGCGCCCGGGACGGCGTGCCGCGCGAGCTCGGAGCGCCACTGATTCAAGATCGGCGCGGGGCACACGACGAGCGTCGCGCCGCACGGCCCGGAGACGATCTCGCCCGCGCGCTTCGCGACGCACGCGCCGCACGTGAACGGCATCGCGTCGTCCGCGGCGACGACGTCCGCCTCCGCGGCGGTCACCGCGGCGGCGGCGGCGGCGGCGGCGGCGGCGGCGTCTTTCGACGTCTCCGCTTCCTCCGCCGCGCGTCTCGCGTCCGCGAGGACGCGCCGCGCGTCGCGCGTCGCCTTCGCGTGCCTCCTCTCGTCCGTCTTCGTGTACCCGACGCAGCGGGCGTGGTACCAATCGTCGCACGTCTCGCACGCGAGCCACACGCCGTCCCTCGGAGGGACGAAGAGCGGATCGAGAAGCTCGCAACACGGGCATCGCGCGCGAGACTGGTCGTCGTCGTCGTCTTCGTCTTCATCGACGCGCATCACGGCGTCGTCGTCCTTCTCCCCGCGCTTTATCATAGGCCCGTCCTCGACGTCGACGCGCGCGTCCGCGGCCTCGGCTTTGACGCCGTCGTCCGGCGGTCGTTTCTCTTCTTCCTCCTTCGCCGCCGCCGTCTTCTTCGTCGCGGCGTCCTCCGCGGCGGGCGGGACGTACGGATGCGCGAGGACGCACAGGAGCACCTCCACGGTCTTCCCCAGGCCCATCTCGTCCGCGAGGATGCCCCCCCGCACGTCCTCCGGCGCGGGAAACCGCGTCCGCGAGAGCTGACCGGTGTGCCAGTTGACGTACAACCGGACGCCGTCGTCGCCGCGGCGGTGGCCGCCGAGGAGGCGGCTCCACAGCGGATGCAACGCGTCGTCGTCGCCGCCGCCGTCCGCGTCCGCGTCCGCGTCTTGCGCTCCTCCGCGTTTGCTCATCGCGCCGACGCCGCCCTTCTCGCGTCGGATCATCCAGTCCACCGCGCGTCTTTGGTACGGCCGCGGCGTCGGCGCGAGCCGCGAGGAGAAGTCCCCGCGCAGCGTCGGCGCGTCGCTCGGCGGCTTCGCCGCGTCGTAGATCTCCCTGAGCAGCGACTTGGACGCCGCGTCGGTTGACGTTCCGTCTTCTTCCCCCGCGTCTCCCGCTTCCGCGGCGAGACCCGCGGCGAGGACGTCTCTCGGCGTCGTCGGCGGCGTCAGCCACGCGAGCGTCGTTCGAAGCGACGCGTGCTTCGCTCGCCTCGAACACGCCTCCGGATGCGTCGCCTCGTCCTGCAGCGCGGTCGGCGTGAGGACGAGCCCTATCGCGCGACCGGCGCCGCCGCCGCCCTGGCTCGGGAGCACCCGCGCGGCGAGGAACCCGCCGGCGACGAGGTCTAAGAACGCGCGCGTCGTCGCCGGGCCGTTCGGGATGTCCGTCGCGAACGCGGCGGAGGCGTCGTCGTCGTCGTCCGTCGCGTCCTCGCCGTCGTCCTCGCGCGTCGTCGACGCGAGTCTCCATCGCAAGACGTCGCCGTTCTTCGCGGACTCGAAGCGCACGCGCGTCGCGGGCGGCGAGGACGCGGACGCGGACGCGCCGCTCGCGACGCGTCCGCCGCGGGTCTCGCGCCCGGAGAGCGTCGTGAGGTCGAAGAACCCAGGATCGGCGGCGTCGTCGTCGCCGAGGATCTCGCAGTCTGCGCTCTCGCGCGCGGGGCGACCGAACGACGCGCGAGCGCGCGCTCTCTTCGCGACATCGCGCGCGCTCTCCTCCGCGGCGCGCTCGCGCTTCGCCGCGATTTCCGCGGCTTCGCCGTTCCGCCTCGGCGGCGCCTTCTTGCGCGGCATCGCACTGGCGGTCAGCGCGGCGATCGCGTTTTTTCAAGCGTGATGGCATGGCACCCGCACCCGCACCCTCCGCCCGGTGCCCACTTTCGATCGCGCGGTCGTCACGGGACGAGCACCATCGCGAGCGCTCTCGCGATCGTCCGCGGCGTCGGCGCGTGCGCACGCCGCGCGCCCTCCTTCCCCGCCGCGCACTCGCTCTCGCACGCGGCGCGTCCTCTCGTCGGATCCCACCGTCGCGCGTGCGTCGGATCGCGCCAGCGGACTACGAGTCGTTCGATTCGTTCGATCTCGATGGAGAACTTCTTCAAGCGCAAGGATCCGCCGCCGGGGGCGCCCGCCGGCGGCCCCAACCCGAAGACCGCGTGCACGTCGTCGACGTCGCCGTCGTCCTCGTCCGCGCCGCGATGGTCCACGCACCACGACGCGCTCCTCGCGAGGACGGAAGCGGCGTGCGCGCCGTGCGCGAAGATCGCCGCGTTCGACCTCGACGACACGCTTCAAAAAACGAGAAGCGGACAGAAGGGATACATGGTCACGGACGTGAACGACTTCGTCGACTGGTCCGCGGACGTCGCGCCGACGCTCAGACGACTGCACGCGACGGGGTATAAGATCGTGATCTTCTCGAACCAAGGCGGCGTCAAGGGCGCGATGACCGGGAAGAGGGCGGACGTCGTCCGGCGACGGATCGACGCGTTCGCGCGCGCGGCCGGCGTCCCGCTGCAGGCGTTTTGCGCGACCCAGAAAGGGGTCGACAAAGACCCGCGAAGCTACCGGAAGCCCGGCGCCGGGATGTGGAAGCTCGCGACGAGCGCGGCGTTCAACGGCGGCGTGGAGGTGAACGTCGCGGAGTGCTTCTTCGTGGGGGACGCCGCGGGGCGGGCGGGCGATTTCTCCGCGTCGGACAAAGAGTTCGCGGCGGGCGCCGGCGTGCGGTTCATGACCCCGGAGGAAGCGTTCAACGCGCCGGGGTGTGCGCCCGCGGGTCCAGGCGACGGCGGCGGACGCGAGGACGGCGAAGGCGCCGCCGAGGATGCGAACACGAAGATGGAGTCGGCGGTGTGCGCGAAGGAGGGTGGCGAGGGCGTCATCGTCATCGACGACGACGACGACGAGGTCGATAAAAAAATGGCGTCTCTCCGCGACGACACGCCGTGACGGACTACGGAGAGGACCGCGACGGACGACGCACCGCGTCGCGACTAGGACGGACGCGCGACGACGACGCGAACGGAGGACGACGATCGAACGAACGAACGCTTCTTTAACGACGACGACGCGCGAATTCTCTTTCGTTCACGACCGCCGGTCAGCTCCACCGATACACCTGCACCCGACCCGCGAGCGACGGCGGCGGCGCCGCCGCCTCCCCATCGCCCCCCCCGCCGCCGACGGACTCGAATATCAGCCGCCTCGCGCCGTCGAGCTTGTGCCGCTCCTCCTCCGGGACTCGAAACTCGAACCACAGCGGCGTCCTGTTCTTCACGCACGGCACGACGAACGCGCCGCAGTTCACGGGGGTGAGGTAAAAATCGCCGCCGGCGCCGCCGCCGGCGCCGACGCCGAACCCGGCGCCGATGACGCCGCCTCTGAGCCCCGCGTTCCCGCCGCCGCCGACCGTCTCCGTCTCTTCCACGAGCGCGGTGACCTTGATCTTCCACGGCGCCGCGGGGAACGGATCGGGGGGCGATATTCGGAACCCGGCGACGCCGCCGCCGCCGCCGCCCGGCGGGTTTTTATGCGTCGCGCTCGACGGCACGCCGAGGTGCGTCGTCGCGCCGCCGAAAACGCTGGGGATCCTCAGAGTCGACC